AGGAGGGGGAGGGGGAGGAGGGGGAGGAGGCGCAGAAGGACTTGGGCTTGATGAAGGGTGCGGCGGTGGCGGTGGAGGCGGCGGAGGAACGCTTGATGAAGTCGGTGGTGGTGGAGGGGGCACTGCACTAGATGCAGGTGGTGGAGGCGTGGGCCGGGAAGCAGCAGGCACAGGCGGAGGAGGTGGTTGGTTGGCCGGACTTCTCGGAGGTGGTGGGGGAGGTGCTGGCGTTGAGGCCGGGGCATGAGGCACTTTGGGAGGAAGCTGCGGCGGTAATGCAGGGCTTGACGTGCGGGGAGGTGGCCGTGGTGGTGGCCCTGGAGGCGCCGGGTTACGGCTGGGTGGTGCTGGAGGAGCGGACACCTTTCGCTCTCCTTGGAAAGGTGGAGGCACCCCAAACCGGGGTTGACTATCATCCATAGGAGTCTTTGGAGGTCGTGGTGGGGGAGGAGGCCCAGGATTTGCGCCCGATAATGCTCGTTGTCGGCCGGGAAGAGGGGGCCCATTGCTGTGCGCAAATTTGCCAGCATCTGCAATTGGAGGCGGCGCTCGGAATCTGGGCCGGGGCGGAGATGGTTCGCGAGTGGATGCTGGGGACTCTTCCTCTGCTTCAGCACGGGTTCTCCGTGACGGCGGAGGTGGTGGCGGAGCGCCTCGTCGACTACCCGTACTATTACCTGTATGTTGCGGGCTTATAGAACTCGACTTAGGAGCAGGAGGCGCCGACGGAGGAGGCGGAGGGGGAGCTTTGCCCCTTTTATCCTCAGCTGGAGATGGAGCAGAATCAACCCCGTTGCTTTGTTTCTGCTCAATATATGCCTTGATAAAGTCCGAATTCTCCGCGATCTGGTCTTCCGTAATGCCCATCTGCAAGAGTTCGTCCAGAAGACCTTTCCATGACGGATCACTGGTGTCGAAGGGCAAGGCCTTGCGTGGAGGGCTGCTCGGTGGGGGTGGTGCGACTTGAATGGAAGGCGCAGAAGGGGGCTCTGTATGTGCTACTGGTGGAGGCGCATTTGACCCCGATGTTGACCGATGGCCTAGCAGGCTACCGAAAATCGACCGTCCTACGCCATGTTTACCATTTGCTATGGGAGCAGGGCCTTGACCACGAGTGGATGCGAAAGGTGTCTGCCGGGTTTCTTTGCTCGCACTTTTCTCCCGCTCTTGCATTTTCTTAATGAATGTTTTAGCTTCCTTCTCGTCAGCAAAGGATAAACCAGCGGCACAATCTTCCAGCTCAAACGTGTGAAAGAACGTTCGGTCTTGGTTATAGGGGAAATTATCGTAGATCTCCTGGTCCCAGATAACACCTCGTCCAGCGGGCTGTGGCTCGGAATGAACGGAATCATCAGCAATCTGAGAAAAAGTCAAGGGGCCATCAAGACACAGTTACTCACCGATACATCCACCAACTTCAACCAAAAGGTCCGCCCGACTAAATCATTCGCCAGGACGACGGCACCCTGTAGACCTGTGTATGTCCATTTCTGGGGATCCGGGTAGGCCACATATAATCGCGCAACGGCTACAGCGTGGATCTTGTTCGCCGGTTTGGGGACAGTCCTCTTGACGGTTTCTTTGTCGGCATCACTGAGGATAGATGGCATGACGGACCACGAAGAGCTAGTTCAAGAATACCGGAAACGGAATTAGAGATTATACAGCGCCGTTAATGTTTCTTAAGGAACTTCTCGATAACGCATTGCAGGAGTCGGTGAAGTTGCTCCAGGCAGAAGTGTAAAAATGCACTCGACTTCCAGGCACGGATAATCGCTGATGCGGCCAAGAACAAACTCGGGCTAGAGAGGGGGGGCAATTTCTCCGGGTGTTCGATCGAGACTTAAGAAGATTGACTGTAAGTGAGTTTGAGAGGAGGAACCGGGGGCGTACGCGAGTAATTCGTATGCCTATGGGTAGTTGAACTGTTGGTTGTTGGGAGAAATCAGCCTTGAGGGGAAGTCAGAGAAGAGGTCAAGTAGCAGAAAGAGGGAGAGAGGCACACTACCACTAATGCTGCCGCTAAGTTTCTACTACAGTGCCACTAACTCCATTTCCAGTCCCACTTAAGGCCCGAGTGGGGAACTCGGAGAGAATGTAGGGCATTACTATCTAAACATAAGGTATGGATTCTTATTTTATCTTCCTGGACTACAATTCTGGCCATCTCTACTGACTGGTTGGTGTCAACTAGAAAGGCTATACCCAAAGGAAAGAATTGAAATTGTACCTATTGCGTTTGTAATTTATTTAATCACCAATCCTTCTTTTCAGTATTTAGTCGCTACAACCATGACCACGAGTTCATCCCGGACCTGTCAGGCTTGAGAGTAGATCAATTCTGGAACAGTCCATATGTTACGGCCTTCTCGTTAATTAAATTCAATGTCAGGTGGTTGATTTCCAATCGACGTCATCCCGTTTCCTCTCCGAAACTCCTCCTATTTAAATACTATTAGTACTAACACAACTCTGCCTCATCTCCAGATAAATTAATCATAGAACTTCTTCTTACTTAGCTACTCGTTACACTCGGTATTGCAAAAGAAAAGTATTCACTAGGTTACATACACCTCACTCCAAGATGCCGGTCATTCCTTCAGACACCACCAATTTCCCATCAACAGCCAGCAATAGCTCCAACCGGAATGAATCGCAGAAGGCCACCGCTCAGGACCATCTGTCTAAAGGACCACAAATCCCGGACAGTATGTACCGCGATACCTTTGGTAGACCCTTGGCAGATTAACTGACAACTGCAGATATGCCACCCAAAGCTTCCCGGGAGGAAATCGAAGCACGCAAGAAAGAGCTGAACAAATAAACCAAAATTCTAAAGGATGGTCACGATGGAAACCTCATTATCATGAATTATGAAAAATGCAGCGGAAATGTTATGCAGAAGTGTCACTGATCTGGTTTAATCTATGCAATGAATTCTATACGTAGTAATTTCATATGTATAATTTGTCAGATTCAGAGACTATCGTAGTACTCGTCATAAAAATGAATGACATCAGCCCTTGACCATGCCAATTACTATCATCCAGTACGGAGTGGAACTACACTCATTGAGCAGCTTACTACTACTAGTAGTGGTACTTGGTTTCTTCAGACGTTTCATTACATCATAGGCACGTGATTTCGTGTTCGCTTTGCTCCTCATTGCGCGACAAGGACATGTCTTTTTCGCGTTAAGAGGCTCCTCATGCCGCCAGAACGTACAAATGTCCCGGTGAAGCTGTCCTTGCCGTTAGTAAGTGCTCTGATTCTTTGTACATATACACCAGAAGTCCTTTTGGTATGACTGACAACATCAAATCCAGCAATATCAGCAGGACATCTTCACCGAACTGCGCACCGAGGATGAATTGGTCATCCTTGCCCGGGGCCTTGGGCTATTACGCTTAGTGACTAATCTCTTACATTTTTATGATGCTGCAGGGAATAATCTAGTCTTGGTAGTGGGTACTGATGATCGAGAGAATGAATGGATCGGCGAAGGTATGTCAAAAGACTCTCTAGCTTATGCATAGTGCCTCAAGAAGAATACGCTGACACTAATAGCCAAACAGCACTGGCAGAACACTATGCCATTAGCAAAACCCCCTTTGCCAGAGGCCTCAAGGTGATCAACACCGAGAGAGCCTCAGTTTCCATGAGGGAGAGGATCTATGCCGAAGGCGGTATCCTGAGTGTAACATCCAGGATACTAGTTGTAGATCTACTATCAAGTATGTGTACGGAGTAGCTTTCTATGTGATAGCAAGCACCTGACATTTACTTCAACAGAGCTCCTCGATCCAGAAAAGATCACGGGAATGGTTGTGCTTCATGCCGACAAGTAAGGTCTTACTCTAGACTTCCCCTAGATATTTGCTCATCGCTTTCCAGGATCATGGCAACTTCAACTGAAGCTTTCATCATTCGAATATTTCGACAAATCAATCAAAATGGGTTTCTAAAGGCATTTTCCGACTCCCCTGAACCCTTTACAACGGGATTCGCACCCTTAGCTAATTCCATGCGCAATCTTTTCCTTCGCAAAGCCTCGTTATGGCCGCGATTCCATGTTACTGTTGCCGAGTCCCTCGAAGGTCACAGAAAAGCCGAGGTCATCGAGCTTGAGGTTCCGATGAGCGACAAGATGCGTGAAATGCAGAATGCAGTCCTTGAATGTGTGGAAATATGCATCGGAGAACTGAAGAAATCCAACACTGGTCTGGATATGGCAGACTGGACCTTGGACAGTGCTCTACATAGGAGCTTTGACATCATGATCAGACGGCAGTTGGACCCCATATGGCATCGAGTGACGTTCAGGACCAGGCAGATTGTCAGCGATTTGAGCGACCTCAGGGCGATTCTCCAGTGAGTTCAGTAGCGGTCCCTCATGCGTTAAGCATCGTGTAGCCACTAACTAACCATTAGTGCGTTACTGACGTACGATTCTGTGTCATTTGTGAAATATCTGGATACTATCGTAACTGCGCATTCTCCCCCCCCTGGGTCCACAAGGCATAACTATTCACCATGGCTGTTCCTTGATGCTGCTCATGTTCTGTTCCAGACTGCTAAGTCTAGGGCATATCAAGGAAAGATAAGCAATGACATGGCTCACTCATCATTGAATTCGTTCCCTACTACTCTTCAACCTGTCTTGGAAGAACAACCCAAGTGGGAAGTCCTGGCAGAAGTGCTGGAGGAGATAGAAAATGATGCATACCTCAATCCAGTCAATGTGGATGAGTCAAACAGTACAATATTAATAATGTGTGCCGACCAACGAACTTGCCAACAGCTCCGGGAATATCTGGGGACAATGCATGCCCATGTAAATGACGAAAATAAAGACGACAAAGACATTGGTGACATCACCAGGAAGGGCTCTGCGCAGGTCATGATGCGTAGGAGACTGCGGGGCTATCTCAATTGGAAGACATCTCTGTCTAATGTGACGAAGAATTTATCTTCGAAGCCAACAAATGGCGAGTCCCAGGTTGGGAAAAGCCAAGACTCACCTGGACCATCCGCTCAACAAGGACGACCTCCAAACAAGCGACGCCGAATCCGTGGCGGAGGTGCTGTTACATCTGCCCCTGGTCGCGTACCGAATAGCAGTGTACAGACAGATGTTGAATTACCTGGCCAAGTTTCAAACTTACTGGAAGAGATTCAACCCACTGAAGTCGAGGAGGTCCAGAAGGAGGAGATCATAATTGACGATCTGGAGGATATGGAAGATTTCTATGAGCTATACGACATGGATGATTTAATCATGGTACACCCCTACGATGGTGACATGGACGAGCACATATTGGAGGAAGTGCGGCCACGGTACATCATTATGTACGAACCCGATTCGGCGTTCATCCGACGAGTGGAAGTCTATCGCAGCTCTCATGTTGGGCGAAATGTGCGAGTGTACTTTATGTACTACGGAGGATCTGTCGAAGAGCAGCGGTATCTTAGCGCAGTGCGACGCGAGAAAGACTCCTTCACAAAGCTCATCAAAGAGAAGGGCGTAAGATGACCACTTGCAACTACTTCTAGGAAACTTTCTACTAACATGATACACACAGAATATGGCCGTCACTCTCACACATGACAAAGGTTTTGAAGACCCTCAAGAACAGTTCCTGCGCACTGTTAATACACGTATTGCAGGAGGCGGGCGGCTAGCCGCAACAGCGTCGCCTCCTCGAGTCGTGGTGGACGTACGAGAGTTTAGAAGCGCTCTTCCATCTCTACTACACGGTAATAATATGATCATTGTCCCATGCCAGCTAACAGTGGGAGACTATATTCTTACCCCGGATATCTGTGTTGAGCGCAAATCCATTCGTGACTTGATCACTTCCCTCAGAAATGGCCGTCTCTACAACCAAGCAGAAACAATGCTTCAACATTACAAGAACCCTCTTCTTCTGATTGAGTTTGACCAGAACAAGTCGTTTACCTTCGATGCATTCGCATCCGCAACTACACCAGGAACGACTTTCCTAACAGATTATGGTTTCTCTTCTTCCGGAACTGCGACTACGACCTTGTCTACCAGCAGTTCGCTTGTTAATCCCTCTAGCCCGAAGTCCGCTCAACACCTCCTCGTCCTTCTCACCCTCGCGTTTCCTCGCTTAAAGGTCATTTGGTCATCCTCTCCTTACCAGACTGCGGAGATCTTCGCGGAACTCAAGAAGAACAACCCGGAGCCAGACCCTATCCGAGCAGTCCAGATCGGACTAGACATGGACATTGCAGCTGGCTCCGAATCTGGTAATGTCATGGCTGCAGCTGGCATAGAGCACCGTACCTTCAATCTCCTTCCTCAGGATATGCTCAGAGCCGTTCCGGGCGTGACACCGAGTGTCCTAGAACGGCTTATCCTTGACACGGGCAATATCTCGGAGATCGCTAATATGGATGTTGAGCAATTGGACCCTCTTGTGGGAACAGAAGCCGCGCGCAAGATCGTCAACTTCTTCCAAAAGAGTGTGTTCGATGAAAGCTAGCCTGCATCTACTGTCTACTAGCTTACGAAGTACAGCTACTGAAGAGCTAGTTGATGGGCTACATTCAGAGTATAAATAGGACTTCAAAACATAACCTTTGTATGTCCAGACTTTTTTGTATTCTCGTAACCTTGTCATGAATCTATCATCCAAGTTTTAAATTAAAAGGAACGAAGTAGCAAGAGGGAACAGACAAAAGAATTGCCAGCACGAAACACGCTGAGTACAGTCGGTCTCTTGATACGCGTCGCAACCAATTCTCTGCGAAAATCCGAGGTTGTCCCTCACGATAAAAACGATCTTTGGCCAAAAGCCACTCGAGTTTATCATGTAGAACTCCAAGAATTTCCTACCCATGATTCATACCCTGACTTTTGGAAGGAGCACTGGGGCAGTGGTAGGTCCCCAAGCGAAGCGGGAAGGCAGCAGCCCCCTAGACCTTTCTGGTCTCCTTCCCAGGAAACAGATGGCATAATGATAAAACCAACCGTCAAGCTCCTGCCTGAGGCAAGAAAGACCTTTCACAGAAGGAAGCCTGTCGGGTTTCCCAGAAAGGAAATAGCTTGGCTTTGAGAAAGAGAAAGAGGGGCTGGCGAACAGGATCCCCAGTAGCTCTCGCAGGGTTGAATCCAAAGGGGTGAAGGTTTTTAGAGCTCGTCGACATCGATCTCCTTCTCGTCTTCGCTCTCGCGGTCCTCGTCGAACTCGACGTTGTCTTCGAAGCCTTCGTGGCCATAGGTATCGGTCTCGTTGATCTTGGCGTGTTCGGGCAGCTCGCCGTAGGCCTTGAGACTTCTGGCCTCATCGGCAGTGTACTTCATGATGACGTCGCCCTTTTCGTCCTGGTAATCACGAAGAGAGAGAAGGATGATATCACCCTGGTTGATCCAGACCTTCTTCCTGAGCTTGCCACGAATGTGTGCCAAACGCTTCTCGCCATCGAAGCACAGCGCCTCGAGACGGCCGTTTCCAAGCATCTTCACAACCTGGGCATACTCCTGGCCTTCTTCCTTGAACACGAGTTCACGCTTCTCGTTGTCGTTCTCGTTCTTTCCACGACGACGGTTCTTACCGCCCTGTACATAAGCTGTTAGCCTGTGCTCCGTGTAAATGTTCCAAGTTAAACGATTCCACAATCTCGAGGTAACTCATCTGCCAAAAAGTCACCTCCCAGGCACGAGGGGTGGCGATTTGGGAGTTGTTATGGAACCGACTAAAGCACCCACAAAAGAGGCAGAGAAAAGTCTAACACAGCGGGGGGCGATTTGTTTCAGGAAAATTCCGTTCTTACCTTTCCCTTATTCTTGGGCATGACGGAAAATTCGCTAACCGCGATAACTTTCCACTCGATGCAATATCAGATGGACTGATATAAAAAAGAGGAAGTGGTATGTGTCCCAAAGGACCAAGAGTGGTGAAAGTGGGGGAAGTGTCGAGTAGGCGGGAAGTAATTTCGACGCTTTTCTGAATATATAATCGGTGGGGGGCCGGTGGCGTGGCGGCCTGAGTCATGCCTAAGGCTGGCCACAGGGGTCGACCAATGAAAGTTGGTTACTGCTACCGCCTCAAATGTTTCTTTTTGGCAGAAAAAGAAATGGAAATTGTCCCGATATTGGTCGAATTTGATGAATCCAGCTCCATGAAGAAAGAGCCTACATCTTTTCTGCCTCTTACCTCTTTGATATTTGATTTATTGAAAGGGTTCTGACATAGATACTTGCGCGCTGCCTCCCACCACTGCTAGAAGAGCTGGTTTCGTCTTGCTAAACAATGAAGGGAAGGTGACACCGTCTAGCGTCAGTGCCCTAGGTCTCATCTTTTCTAGCCACAAAAGCAAGGCTCTTTCTTGGCCATCTGGTCGCCTTAGACATGAAGTTTCTCGCATCAACAAAGCAGTTTACTCTGCGGTATGTTCCGAAGCATGTCATATCTCCTATCGCTTCCCGGTACTTAGCTTCTCCGATCAATCCTATCCGGTTCAAAATTCAACATTTATATGCCACCCGTGATCGGACTACATTATGGTGGAGAGTATCGTCACAACATCTGCAGCAGCAAAGGCGAGTGGTCCGGTCATGGTGTGCACGGAGGGTCCGACTAGCGTTTCGGCGTGCATTGCAAGAGCGTGGCTTTGATACTGAGGGCAGAAGGATAAGGCCAAACTCTGATGAAAGTGCCGGGCCATCAGAAGGAAATGGTGGTAATTTGGTAGGGTCAATCGATATCCTTGTCCGCCCGCAGTGTATCCAAGAAGATTATGCTACGGTCCAGGCAGATATGAATTCTCTCGTCGATTCCTTGATACAGAACAGGAACAAGGGAGATCACCCAAAATCGCTGCGGAACGAGGGGGTCAAGGTGTCAATTAAGAGTTCCCAAAGAAACAATGGTACTAGTAATTAATCTAATAAGTGTATATGTATCGTCCTTCTGTGACGTTGGTATGGTTGTCAACTGTATCTGATCTGCATCATCCGAGTGCACTGAGGACAATAATTGCTTCAGATGTGGTAGCGCAAGTCTATCCCTTGAGAACAATTTTGAGTCTTCTAATATAAAACATGATTGAATAAACAAGAGTAGTGGAGGACATTCCCCATATGTACAAGGGACTCGGAGATATAACGCGCGGCACTGCCTCCTTGGCATATTCGCTAACTCGCCGATCCTCTCGGGGCCTGGAAGCAAGAAGACAACAACGGGCTAGAGCAGTTGTAGCACTGACCTCGCAAGATATCAATCAACCCTTTCTTGTTGTCAACTATTCTTGTTCTTCTATGCGCTATCGATAATCGATTAATTCCTTTTCTTATCCGCCAAGATGCTGGTCTCCTTGACTGTTGGCAAGGTAGACGCTGGAGTCGCCGTCCTCTTGACACAGGATAACCGACTGGTACGTCGTCCCCTCTCTTACTGCAATCGATGCGACTGTTTCACCCCTTCAAGGCCTCTTGACCCCTGACTCATCTATTCAACCATGAAACAACATCACTGGATTCGCGACAGTTCTAATACTAAGTGCTAACCCTCGAATGACAGATCGAGTTTCCCTCGGTCCTCCTCCCTAACAACATCACATCCGGCAGCATCGTCGACATCACAGTAGCGCGCAATCACATCGCCGAAGAAGCCAGTTCCACCGGATTCCAAAGTCTCCAGAAACGCATCCTCAACACATACGGTGTCAAGACTCCCACCCCGCCGGTTCTGCGACTCCGCAACGCAACCCAGACCTCGCTAGTACTGGAATGGGACCCGATCGACCTGGCCACAGCATCTCTGAAATCCCTCTCACTCTATCGCAATGGCTCCAAAGCCGGATCCATCCCGCGACCCCTCGAGACACGCTCCACCAAGATCAGCGGATTGGCAATCCACACCGAATACACCTTCCACCTAGTCCTGCGCACAACCGCCGGCACATACCAGTCGGAGAAGCTGACATGTCGGACGCACAAGATGACCGATCTCTCCGGTATCACGGTTACGGCGGGTGTTCTGCCGGAACAGCAGAAGGAGGCACTTGGTGCGGCGCTGGATCGCATCGGCGGCAAGCTGATTGATACGGTCCGCATCGATACGACTCACTTCGTGTGCACGGAGGGAAGAGGCCCGCTGTGGGAGAAGGCGGTTGAGATGAATATTCCTGTCGTGACGCCGGAATGGGTGGATGCCTGTGAGGCTGAGGGCACTATCGTGAGTGTCCGTGGCTACTACTTGAATGCCGACCCCAAGGCTAGACAGCTGGGTCCTATTCATGCGTCGACGCAACATCAGCGTACCATGTCCACCATGACTGCCAACACACAGAATCATATCCAGTCCCAGTCGAGACTGAGCCTCCAGCCTCAACCGACGCGAGAGAGACAGGAGTCTCTCGCTGAACCACCGGTTACGCCGTTCCCCGGGGCCAGCATGAGCGGTCAGCCGAAGGCTGAGGACTCAGAAGGACCTTCAGATGATGAAGATGAACTGCCTCCTCCCCCACCTCCTCCCAAGGATGAGGGTGAACCTGCAGAATCCCCAGAGCCGACTCCTAATGGCCATGCCGAGCAAAATGGGGAGGCCGATGCTACGGAAACATCAGTTTCATCCGAGAAGGAGGACAAGGCTGATAGTGAAGAGAAGGAAGACGATGCGGAAGAGAAAGCAGAGGAAACAAAAGAAGAACCATCAGGCGATGAGGTGAAAAAGGGCAAGGGAAAAGAAAGTGAAGGGGACTTTAATGAAGTCCCTCTTTAATGGGTCCATGTGAGCGTTTTCCTTATGTCTCTTTTCCCTGTTTGCTTTTTCCTTTCCTTTCTTCTTCTTATCCTGTTCAAGACTTTGAATTCATCGAAGCCTGTAATTGTATAGCCAGTATGCTAGTAGATGAGTCTCTCGCGGCACGACGTTTCCTAATGTATGCCTTCTTTATACTTCCCACATCTTATTCCTTGCTGCACTCTTGTGGCATGCTTGTATTATAGAGATAGCTTCCCATGCTGCATGATATTATAAAGTTCACCATATTACATAGTAGGGTTTCTGTAATGATCTCATCATAAACGTCCATAAATCATTCGAAATGTCATATATAAATCTAATCAAGATGTACATCTATCTCGTCATGTACGCTCCAGTACACATACATCAAACTATTTGACAATGCCCTCGGGCATGGAAGGACCTCTCCTAACTTTCACCTAAAATGCAAGCAAAGACTGCCAACTATTGCGCCGATATGCTTTGAATCTTCATATGTACTGAGCTGAGCTTGTGTTTTTCTTCTTTGGTTTATTGACTTCGTTCCTCATTGCAATCATCAGCATGATAATGCATGCTTAGTTGACGTTGCGGACAACGTCGTTGATAGCCTGGGCTACGTAGGTGACGTTCTTCTCGCTCACTATGTGGAATTGGTTTATTAGTAAGGACATTTTCCCTGTGCAGTGGATGAGATGAATGACTTACGGCCGCTGATAGAGCTCTGCCGGATTTGAGAAGGTAGATGTGATACTTGTCCTTCAAGGCGTACACTTGAGAGGGGGTCAGACCGGTGTAGGAGAACATTCCGTTCTGGGAGGAGGGAAGGTTAGTCTTAGCTTGAAATGGTATTGGAGGTGGTGATGGGCAGTTTGTTTATTACCTGTTCAACGATGTGTCTCCATGTTCCGGGGGTCTCGAGTTTGATGAGCTCATTGTACAGGGCTTGTCTCATGGACCTGATACGGGAGCTCATGACCTTCAGATCTTCATGCCACTGGGCAGTGAGTTCATCATCGGTCAGGACCTTCTTAACGATGCTGCATCCGCCGGTGGGACCCATGGAGTATTCTCCGCGGATGAAGTGGCAGAGGTTGTTGACGACGATGTCGCGGAGGTTCTGCGCACCGTCGTTCAGGACGTAATGGAATGCACCGACACGCTGGCCGTAGAGACCGAAGTTCTTCGAGAAGCTCTGGGCAACGCACATTTCCATCTGGGGCTTCTCGTTGAGGAAGTACCGAACAGCCCAGGCGTCCTCGTCGGCAGAGCCGGAGGCGAAGCCCTGGTATGCAGAGTCGAAGAAGGGGAAGAGCTTCTTGCGCTCGCACAAGTCGGCAATAGCCTTCCATTGCTCCTTGTTGGGGTCGAGACCGGTGGGGTTATGAGCGCAGGCATGGAGGAGGATGACATCTCCCTGCTGGGCCTCGGCTTCGAGGGTAGACATCATGCCTTCGAAGTCGAAGGAGCGGGTGGCAGCCTTGTAGTACGGGTAGGTCTTCCGGGGGACGCCAGCGAGCTCCCAGATGGTCAGATGGTTGGCCCAGGATGGGTTGGAGAGCCAGACGTTCTTGGGCTTCATAAGGTGTGAGAGGAAGAGAGCACCGAGGTGGTTGGCGCCGGTACCTGCGACGGCCTGGACAGAGCCAATGCGGCCCTTGGTCGCCTTGACCTTGTCGGAGGTATCTTTCACATCGAAGCCGAACATCAAGTCTCGAGCCAGCTCGAGGAAGGGGACGTCACCTTCGATAGCGGTATATTCATGTCTGAAGAGGTTGTCATCGGCAAGTAGGCGTTTCTCTGCCTCGCGGACGACGGGCAGCGGCCATGGCTTGCCATCGTCTGTACGATAGACACCCACACCGAGACTGACCTTCTTCGGGTAGTCATCATTGGCGTAGGCGCGGTTCAAGGCGAAGATCTCATCCGCCGGCACCGGGGCCAAGGTGCTGAGAACAGTCATGGTGGTTATGACGTTATACAGTAGTCTCGAGGGAGTTGACTCAATTGATCTCTCCCGGGGAGTATTGCGATTGCGGAAGACGGGGGTCACAAAAGGAAGAGTGGAGAAACTGCTGCTTAGATATAGAAGACGATGTCACTGAAGACTTGTCTATACTGCCAGAATAAGTAATCAAATTACAGAAATGGTTTTCTGCATGACTCAATGGCTAGTGTGATATATTAGTAGTGGCATTGGCCCGATATCGCCGGCCTAGATATCCGCTAACATTAAATATTGCCTCCTTTTCACCTTTTTTTTTTTTAGTCTAATTATTTGCCGTCGCAGGCGGGCGACAATACCCGACGGAAAAACGCGCTTAGCGATGGATAGTTCCTGAATTGTGGGCCGTTCCATGGGGATAGAATAGGAAAACGCTCCCTGACTGGTCGAGGGCGATGTATTCTTTTGGTAGGTGTTCAATGATGACGGTGCTGAGATCACACGCATCTTTGGAAGGGCTGGATGTAGAGGTGCATATGACCTTCGACGAGGTTAGTTTCTTGCCCTAGAGGTGAAAGTAAGGGAGATGTCACCTGTCGGATAGTGGCAGATCCTCCATATCAAGGCTCGCCACGGATATTTCAATGGGGGGTCTGAGATGTTCATACCCCAAACAACAATTAGGTCAAGAAATCCCACAATGTAGACACAAGCAGCTACTTCTTAGTTGGTAGTTTCTTTTTCTTCCTGCTTTTTTGTGTCGCCTTCTTCCCAAGAATGCCTTCGAGGCGCCTTGGCACCAGTAAGATAGAGGCATTTGTCGACACACATTTGGTTAACCAGCGATATGCAAGATTCTCTGTCATTATGTGAACTATGACATAAAATTGCTAGTAGTTCTGTGGCCCATCTGGGATTCGGTGGTAACACCAAAGGGTTATTGAACTGGCGATACGCCAAAGTTGCTATATATATCTATTAGCGGTCGACTTTGAAATTTGGATGTAGTAGGGTGGATGAGATAAGGATAGTATATCAACCGAACCAGATAGAATGTAATAGTCCAAAGGGACATACATATTCAACTTAACAGTGTCCGTTTCCCTTAGGGCGAAGGCCAACAGTTAGCTATGGTGACAGCGCGGAAAGTGGTACGGGTTGAATGAATGGCAGTCCGTGTCTAGGACGGTAGAATGCTGACTGTAGTCGCTAGGTTAGACCAAATGACGGTCTCTTCCGATTCGAGGTCACGCTGGCTGATCACAGGGGGCTGGCAGGGTGTGAGATTCGACCTCTTAAGCGGAGGTACTCCGATGTGTGTATACAAAAAATGCCTCAGTGCGTGTTCAATTGGACCCTTGGTTTTAATAACTATATCCTCAACGAAGAACACCGTTGCCTTCAATTCGTAATACTCACAATTATATTATGACTATAATCCAGCCATTGTCTACTTCCCCAGAAACAACTGGGGATCCAAATCTACATTCATTAGGTCCACTAACCGTCATTTAACCACTTTATAACAGCATGCCTCCCAAACTGCTTTACCGGTTTGACCCAGTCTATGTTGAACACTGCAAAAAAAGGAATACAGTGTGGATCGCCTACATACACATGAAATACCGATCGAAGAGTTCAGAAAGGGTCCGGCGAGATATGCCGTAGTTATCGCCGTGCTACGGATCCGGCAGTATACCCGCATTACTGGGCAGAAATGTCCTGTTCAAGGGGGGAGATAAGGGTTCTGATCTTCGAGCCGAAACTGCGTTAATGAGCAAGGTAGGTTGAAGCGGGGAGCTGCATATATCAATTTCCATGGTGGTTGGGTGTTTGGTGAGCTTTCAGCAGATCACGAGGTCTGCAAATGAGTCGTTCATAACCTAGATGGGAACTTCATGGCATTTGCCATTGACTATCGCCTTGCCCCTAAGCATAGGTATCCCACCGCTAATGAAGTCTCACCGGCACTGACAACAGCAAAAAGGAGCATATCTCTACAAGCACTTCCTTAAAATGCTTCGACCAGCAATGTCAGAGGAGGTGTGAGCGCATGATGCCTAGATTCAGTAGTCTAAGCATGCAAGCGCTGGCTGAGTATACAGGACTGAAAACTCTCCCCTATGCTAGCCTCCAGCTCAGGTCCCAGCCTTAGTGTTCACGGCGGAAATGGACGCTCTGCGAGACGAAGAAGAAGCTTATGCTGAAAAGCTGCTGGCTGCTGACTGTAGAACAGAAGTGATGTGTATGCCTGAGGTACTCCATATCTCCCCGCATTTGGGAGATATCTTGGAAATGGGCACATTGTATAATAAAAAGGTGATTATTGCCATGGAGAAAGAACGTGCTGCATGATGATGTATATAGAGGAGGATCATGGTTTACCCGGCGAGTATGGTTACCATACCGTACACATCGGGATCTTCGCTAGGCATTTATTTCCTGTATGTATGGTCATCGCGTTACCGGGCCGGGGGATTTCGGCAGCGGAATCGGAAAAGCAATGGAATAACTGTTGAATGCAGTACCTTCGATTTTGCTTTCCTTTTCTCCCTTCTGTGTTTCTCCTCCTAATATACTGATCCTTGTACTTTTATTCTTATTCTTATAGACATACATAATTTAAGGTATTTATATGAGTTTTATCTTCCCAATTCAGAGCCATTGACCTATTTAGGACAAAGCTAAACAGAATCATCCTTGTCTAGCTCCGCCATGTTGACACCCTCGAACTCCCGATCCGCGGTGCGGTCGATGGCTTCTTTGGCGCATGCAGCATCTAGAGCGTCCGCCAGTTCCCCCGCAGTCGCACGCTCTGCTTTAGCCTGTGCTGCCCGGTCCCCCGCTTCTCTCGGTTGCCGTCGCGCTCTGAGCACCAATAGCCGACAACTCCAGTTCCCCCGCCTTCAGTCTTTGAACACCATCTCTGGCAAGAGAGCTTTTGGTACAACCGCAAGAATGGTACGCATACTGAGCTTCATGATTGAAGAATGCTAGTCGTTGTACTCTCCGTTCAATGCCGTAACAATGGTTTTGCTTCTAGTGGAAGAGTGCGGCTTTCGAACGCACAATGCTGACGGTTCCTCTCCTCACAGGCTTCGGAAATCCGTGTTGAAACTGACGCCTTTGGCGAGATTGAGGTGAGCATATTTCCTATCTAACAATGGGTTGTCTACATGGTCTAATCGTATCTTGTGATAGGTCCCCGCCGACAAGTACTGGGGTGCCCAGACCCAGCGGTAAGAGGCCGCCTCCAGAAGCTCACCTCCGAGCTTGTCCCGGCGAGAAGATATACAGAGGCTAATCAATTTGAGAATAGTTCCTTGGGCAACTTTGACATCAACCAGCCTCAGGATCGCATGCCCGAAGGTGTTGTCAAGGCTTTCGGTATTCTGAAGGGTGCTGCTGCTACTGTGAACATGAAGTTCGGCCTTGGTACGCATATCTTTACTAGCACGATGTTAAAACAACACCTTTCTAACGATTTCCTACGTGTTATAGACCCAAAGGTTGGTGAGGCTATCCAGAAGGCTGCCGCCGAGGTTGCCGAGGGTAAGCTCCTGGACCACTTCCCTCTTGTTGTTTGGCAGACTGGTTCCGGCACCCAGTCCAACATGAACTCCAACGAGGTCATCTCGAACCGTGCCATTGAGATTCTGGGCGGCAAGATGGGATCTAAGAAGCCCGTGCACCCCAACGACCACGTTAACATGTCTGCTTCCTCCAACGACTCTTTCCCTACTGCTATGCACATTGCTGCTGTCTTGGAGCTCGAGGGAACTTTGCTGCCTTCCCTCAAGAGCCTTCGCGATGCCCTCCAGGTGAAGGTGGAGAACTTTGAGAAGATCATCAAGATCGGTCGTACCCACCTGCAGGATGCTACCCCTCTTACTCTTGGTCAGGAGTTCTCCGGCTACGTTGCTCAGCTTGATCGCAACATCGAGCGCGTTCAGAACTCTCTTCCCCACCTTCGCTACCTTGCTCAGGGTGGAACTGCTGTCGGTACTGGTCTGAACACCTTCAAGGGCTTCGATGAGGCCATTGCTGCCGAAGTCACCAAGATGACTGGCACCGAATTCAAGACCGCCCCCAACAAGTTCGAGGTCCTCGCTGCTCACGACGCGATCGTCGAGGCCTCTGGTTCTCTTAACACCCTTGCTTGCTCCCTCTTCAAGATCGCCCAGGATATCCGTTACCTCGGCTCTGGGCCTCGTTGCGGTCTGGGAGAGCTGATCCTCCCCGAGAACGAGCCTGGTTCCTCTATCATGCCCGGAAAGGTCAACCCCACTCAGTGCGAGTCCCTCACCATGATCTGCTCTCAGGTTATGGGTAACCACGTCGCTGCTACCGTTGGTGGCATGAACGGCCAGTTTGAGCTTAACGTCTTCAAGCCCGTCATGATCCGTAACCTCCTGCACAGCTCGCGCATTCTTTCGGATGGTATGAAGAGCTTCGAAAAGAACCTGGTGCACGGTCTCGAGGCCAACGAGCCCAGAATCAACTCCCTGCTCCACGAGAGGTATGTATCCCCTTCGCTTTACGTCAGGCTGCCCAAACTAGACTAACTCGTCTCCAGTCTGATGCTCGTCACCTGCTTGAACCCCGTTATCGGTTACGACATGGCGTCCAAGGTCGCTAAGAACGCCCACAAGAAGGGTCTCACTCTGAAGCAGAGTGCCATGGAGCTTCAGGCCCTTAGCGAGGAGGACTTCGACACCCATGTCCGCCCTGAGCTGATGCTTGCTCCTAAGGAGAAGAAATAAAGGGATGTATTTTGATACCTGAATGACGAAAAGGGGTTAGGATGGGTTGGTTCAGTTTAAGATATAGCGAAATTAGCATCTTTTTCCTTTTAGATTTGTTGTGATGTAGTCTAGTGTAAACAGATAAAAATGCTGTTGTACGGATTTTATTTTTAGAATCGGTGTATTTTTGTTTTACCAGGCTGTGGCTACGAGGTTGTCCTGGAGTTATTTTTGGAATTCCATTGGTAGCTACGCCAACGAGATACTACTAAGTAGTGCGTGCGCCCGCTGTTGCCCTGTAAGAAAAAATTAGTAGCTCCCAATTACATGCATGCATTAGTAGCACGTTCAGAGAATACCTAGAGGTATAGCACAGTGGCTGTGAAAGGCGAATGTAATTTTTTTTTTTATTTTTCCATTCAATTATTTTTTTTTTAGCCCTCTCTCGCCTGTTTGGAATTTTCTCTAAAGTTGTACTAACAGATTTCAATACTTCGGTATCGAGCGTCTCAGGTCCCAACTTAAATCCATGGTTAGTGCTAGTAATTTTTGTTTATCGATAAATACCTGTTCTGTCCCCACCTCCTGGAATTTCAGTTTGTTCTCACATCCTTCTTCCAAGCCTTCGTCTCTTGTTGATCCTACAGTAATTGAGTGAAGAGTACTCCTCTTGTGTCTCGCTCTTTCTCCTTTTTTTCATTGCATCTCTCTTTCCACTCTTTCCAACGTGGTTCTTGTTTGGTCAAGATCCAATAAATCTAATCGGGACCCGACCCCACTGTGTTTCACACCGCATAGTCTACAGTACCCCTAAAAAGCGCTGTGATCGATTAGCTCCATCGACCATCCAGACTTAAATCACGGCTTGCTCGTTTGACTGATCATCATCTGAACCACTATCTACAAATAACAATGACCAACCTTACCACCACCACCACTACTGGCCCCGTCGCAGTCTCCATCAAACCCACCATGAACTCCCAAACCGACGACGCCCCTCTCTTCTCGACCTCCTTGATCTCTCCTGAAGTGGTCGCTGCTCTTCCAGAGGGATACACTATCCGTCCCGTTCGCCGTTCCGACTACAAGCGTGGTTTCCTCGATGTCCTCCGTGTGTTGACCACCGTCGGCGACATCACTGAGGAGCAATGGAGCCAGCGGTTTGACTGGATCTCTGCCCGTAATGACGAGTATTACCTGCTTGTCATCTGCGATAACTTGGACCGTGTTGTCGGTACCGGCAGTTTACTTGTCGAGCGGAAGTTCATCCACTCTCTCGGCATGGTTGGGCACATCGAGGATATTGCCGTCGATCAGTCGCAGCAGGGAAAGAAGTTGGGCTTGAGGCTCATTCAGGCTTTGGACTACGTGGCTGCTAATGTCGGTTGCTACAAGGTATGCTTCAATTGAGCCACGTCTTTTTTTCTAGGATGTCCCCGTTGCTAATCTGTCCTTATAGAGCATCCTTGATTGCTCCGAACACAACGAGGGCTTCTACCTCAAGTGTGGCTTTAAGCGTGCCGGCCTGGAAATGGCCCACTACTACTAGAATTAGGTTTTGCGGTTAAGGGACTTATACTGGCGTTGAGATAGATGGATTGGGATTTACCTGTGAGAATCCTTCATAATTGCCGAGGGACCTTCTCCAGAATTCTTGTTCGGGTTTACAAAGCCTGGTGTTCGGGACACTGTTGCTTGGCGAATTGGCTCGCTTATTCTTGGACCTCTCTCTTGCGGAACTCAGTCGAGGATACTCAAGGACGATTAGAGGAGCGGACACGCTTGATGGTACATGGCACGAGTGGCTCTCGACCTGTCGACTTCGTCTTGATGACACGGTTTCGAGAGATGGACATGTTCAGATGGTGATTTTTATACTTTTGTCAAGGTGATTGCCTAGGTAGTCGCCAGCATGTTCACTTGGATAGAGCTAGGATGCCTTGTTGCTGCCATCCATTTTATAGACAACATAATAGAGGATCACAATAATGTTATAATGTCGATATTCCAAAATGCTTATAGCCACTTGGTGGCGCAGATAGTCTATGATACCCATAACTTCGTCTCACTTGAAGAATAGTGGCGCAACGCCAAGGGAGGACTTGCACCAGATAAGATAAGAGTTCGTACGTACGGGAACATGTTGAGAACAATCTAAATCCAATTATGACATTATGTCACATCGTAAACTAAAAAACCCGTACAGGAATCTACAGGCCCAGAGCGACAAAAACGGCTATCATGTCACATCCATTTTTCCATTTCCTGGTAAATACCATGGCGCACAATGACAGAGCCTATCTGAGAGCCGTGCGGGAATCTCGTCCGCAAGAAACCATCGCACATACGCCGATTTATTGCATAAAATTTTGTGAAGGAAACACAAATTCCAGCTCCGGAAACCTCCCGAATTCCTTCATACTCCCCAGCCCAAGCCAAACCGCTTCTATTCCGTTTAACGAGACTTGGCGGCAACCTTGGGGGCAGAGCCCTTAGCACCCTGCTTGCTCTGGATGCGCTGGGCGGTACCCTTGCCGGCGGCGGCGTTCTTGGCCTTCTTAGCCTTCTCGGAAGCGGCCTTCTTCTCCTTGGCTTCCTTGATGGCCTGCTGGCGAGCAGCAGCACGGGCCTCAGGGCGCTGGTTGCGGCGCTCCTTGATCACGTCGAGGGAGGCACCAACGATAGCACGCTGGGACTTAACGGCACGACGGGTACGCTTCTTAGCGACTTCCTGTATGCATTGAAAAATATCCCGTCAGCATTTCTGGTCCTGTCCCAACGCTTCGTCACTTGCAGATATATCCCAGTTCCTTTCCGATGTTTCGGCATCGTGCTAGTCGGCATGTCCATGTTCCATCACCGGACCCAACTCACGTCCCGACATTTCGGACCATTCCGGAAAACCAAAGAAATAACTTCAACCATGGGGAAAACTTGGCGGTACTGACTTCAGAGATACCCTTCTTGTGCTGGCGACGGTAGAGGACAGTCCAGGAGATGCGGCGGGGGTTCTTGCGCTGGAGGAAGAGGGACTCGGACTTTCCATTCTGGAAGCGGAAGATCTTGCTGTCGCCACGGACGTACAGCTTACCCTATAATAGTATAAATGTCAACGAATATATCCTGATAATTTTCGTATATTTTTTGTGCTTGATTTTTTGTATATTTGCATTGGTGGATTGGCTGGCTCGGGGTAGCCTGGGCGAGTGTTTCGTATATTCGGCATGGAAGAGAGGGTCTCTCTTGCGGAAGTGGACAAAACGCACCTTTCCAGGGTAGATCTTCTGACCGCTGAAAGAATCGTCGTAGGTACGCATCTTGAACGTCGGAGATGCGCAACGAGATGTTGTCGGTTGGCGTTGGGTGGTTGAATCGTATCGGTCGCTGCGGCGAGCTGTTCGCGAGACGCTGACACAATTGTGGTGCGGTGCGGAGCCTCGCTAAAGTGCGACACGTGACCTCGTCTGCCCTTCCCCGTTTGCAACTTCAACATCTGAGAGACATCTGGGGTGACTATAGCTATTGGGGGATAATTGTTATTCATGATATATTGGTTTAGGTCTTGATGCTACTAGGATTAGTTGCTATAGTTCTACGATTGATTTTCTTGTTGGCATCATGAATTGTTCGATCAAAGGTCCCCTCGTCCATAGAGATTCGGCTTCAATACATGTGAAATATGACCAGATATCTCAGCATAAATCAAACTCCGCTCGCTCTTGAAACTCATCTAAGTTATTAGTGATACTCACCGATATGAGAGGCTTTTCCGGTGTGCCTTCCGTAGCAAGCTGGTTCACTCCCATATCAATCGTGCCAATCGCAGGGTTCCCAAGGATTTGTCTTGCATTCCTATAGCAAGTATAACGTTAACCACCATACAAGTACTCGTAAGTGACTTAGAACGTGGACAATACAGAGGGACTATTACCGTGCATTGAATGTCACCGCATATCTCACTTGGGCATCTACCACAACAGTTTGGACATACATGTCTGCCGCAGCCTCCGGGTTCGCTACATAGGGAAAAGGTACTCATGTCTTTGACATGCGAACCTAGCCCCTCAATCATCTGCAATATATGTCTTGCCTTGTCGGTTTTCCCGGGCTTAATTTCCGTATCGGCAATTATCTGCTGAGCTTCTCCATATCTGCAGCATGCTACGCTACAGGTCGGGCAGTTACCACGACAAGTAGTGCATCTCAGGTTCACGGTATTCCATTGTCGGCTGTCGTCCACTCTGCGTGGAGACTTGGTATCAGTGGGAGATACGGTTCTCACTTCGGTTCCAGTGAGGCTACGGAGATGTTTGATCTGGTAATATTAATAGCTTTATCAGCTTCGTTCTTACTGAGACCTACCTACCTGCTTTTGGAGGCCCTTCTTGGTGTCATGGTCTCCTCCCACCGGGGAATTCTTTCCTGAAGGGCTCACTCGTGGTGCTTGCTGCTTCGTATCCTCCATCGAAGATAGAGAGCCGCCTCGAATGACCCTGTTTGACGTATCTGTCTCCAGGAAGTCCAGATCCAGAAACATATAATCTGTTTAGATATCAGAGTCAGAAATAAACCAATCACTACCATGAGGCCACAAGACGCTCAATAAATAAGTGAACAGGCATACCGTTAGTCGCCCTGACGTACTTCAGAAACTTGGGGGTAGGAGGAGTAGTCGGCGACTTCGTTGTCGGGCTGTGAATACTCCCATGTGTGCCTGTGGTGTTGCTATCCGTCAAACTAGCAGCGCTGGAACCAGAGCGTTCCGAGCGAGTTGCTTTATCCTGCGAGTGAATTTGACAGCTGTGCCTATCGGAGTCGCCGGGCAGTTTCAAGGGGTTGCCAGTGAAGGTCATCTTCAACCGTCTTTTGAGCGAGCCTACTCTAGGTGGTTCCTCATTGCTGTTGGTATTGGTTTCACCCTGCTTCACTGTCGTTTCTGCGTTAGTATCTTCGTTTTTGGGAAGTGGTGGCTGGTCAAGGGTATCGTCTTCGATTCGAAAGGCTGTTTCGATCTCTGCTGAGACCCTGTCTGGGTTTATTTCAGTGATTGTTTCGTTCGAAGCTGTGATGCAGATACTGGGATGTTTTAGCCACGTACTGGATGGAAGTGGGGAAGAGAGGGGGTAAGGAAGTAAAATTGAATGGGTTCATGCGACTTACTTGTCCTTGTTGTTGGTATGATCTTTCTTGAGTTTGCTCTTGCCTTTACCCTTGGATTTGCCTTTGACCTTGCTTTTCATCATGTCTGATATATTGGTTGCTGCTTGGAAGGTCGCGTGCTCGGCTTCTATATGTCGATAGGGGATGAGATTGGGAGGGAGTATAATCACAGCTGGTGTGATGATCTGAAAGCATGGTACTGTTTACGTTTGTGGGGTGTATTCGCCTTTACGTAGATGGGGGGTAGTAGTGAATGATGTGAGAGCGCATCATATGCTGTGGCTGTTTGAAGACTCCTCGTTCGGAGGTTACCGCTATATCTTATGCTTATACTAATGCTGCCCAGGATATTTCAGTTGGTTTCTCTGTAGTGTTTTTATTTTACCCGTTGGAATGTACGTATATCAGGGGAATAAAATGTAAAACCATCTATTCTACGGCCAACCGAACCTATACTGCGATCTCTACAAGTTCTGAACCAGGTAGCATCGTGTTTACCGGTGATGGGCAGCCTACTAAAACTAGCGCCAATGGTCTATTTTCAAGAACTAGACAAGTCTATGATGTAACTAAGTGTATAATATGGTAAGTTGTAATATAAATTTCTAGAGAAATGAGATCGTTCTATCAAAGTGCAGCTCTGGTCTGATTGCAAAAGCAAATGTGAAAACTGTATACGAGGTTTTGCAGCATCGACTGCTTCGTCGTATCGGAGTACCAAAGGGGGCGTGAGCCAGAGCTGAGATCTATCATCGATGTATTGGGAGGACGCATGATAACAGGACCTCTCTTTCAAAGAACTGATATAAACTCTCTCAGGGGGGCATGAGACTGATCCAAAAGATAATTGCCGGTAGGGCCTAGGCTCGCAGTGTAACTTTTGTTTTCATGGTCACATCACAACGTATTGGTTCATATTCCGTCATAGCGGATTTTGTTTGAGTCACTCCTCAATAATCTAAGTCATGGCATGTGTCCTGGTCCATTCCCTAGCGGTCTGTATCGCAGCGGGCTCATCCTCCTTCCAACGCTGAGCGACGTCATTTGCAAGCGGGTCATCTGGGTTGGGAGCTCCTAGCAAGGCTTGGATAGAGAGTAGAATCGTACGGATTTGGAGTGCAGGGGACCAGTTGTCTAACACGTATTAGCCTATTGACCCCGTTTGGGGGAAATCCCTGCGGAAGGCTTACTCTTTAGGACATCCAAGCAGATACGCCCGAGACGGTCGATGTTGGGGTGGTAGATCTTGGTCAAGAATCGAATCTTGGGAGGAGTCATAGGATAGTCTTCGGGCAAGAACAGTTCAAGACGGAATATACCACCTTTGTTGGTAATTAGCAACCACCTTATTTCTTTCCTCTCGATATGAGGGCATGTGCACTATACCTTCATATGGAGATTGGGCCGGTCCATGGATCGAGACATCGAAATAACGCAGGTTGTCTTCATGAGGCACAGCATTGATACCGGGGACCCTAAGAGAGCCAAAGGATCAATGACAGTTCTTTATTTCCACTATGAGTAATTACTTACGGCTCCGCCATAAGGCGCTCGGTCTCCTTCACTATTCTTTTCGGCAACGCCATTTTGAACCACCAGAACTAAACGATAAGTGTCCCCGCGTGTAATCCAAGGTGGGGCTTAAGAGGTCTGCTTCCAAATTTCTTTTTTATTCCTGCGCACCGGCTATAACCAGTGAGTTTAAATGCTTCCCAAGATAGAAATTCCAACACGGAGAAAATGATGCAAGGTTGGGGCCAGGATCCGCAAGGAACCGTTTAGTCACAGCCGGAAGATCCTCTGTGATGAAGGTTACCAAGCATTTGCTGATTGATGGTATCGGGCAGAGGGGTACTCAATCTCACCGCCTTCTGTATTCAATTAGGCACGGGAGCGCATACGCTCCATAAGCGAAACTTTCTATCCTAAGCCCGATAGGGATGCCTTGAGGTTCGCCCTGTCTCCACACCACCTCGAGTTGCGGAGATGTTATAGCTACCAGAATCAAGTCATTGAAGGTGGCTCAAGCTTTGTTATATGTGTGAGTGCACACATGTACTAAATTTTGACGCTGGAACTGTCACTATACCTTATCAATTTAACTTGCAATGGATCCTTAAAGACAACTACTAGTGCTGTATTGCGCAATGTGTGACAAGTCCTTCGCTGCCTTCACTTCGTACAATTGACGAGACTATTCCGAATCCATCGAAATGAAAGCACTTCTTAGTGTCGTACAACCTTTTCTATTAATGATTTGTAGGAAGACCTGAAACCCGATACATCGCCAAGGTACTCCTCGGAAGGTGTCGGGAAATACTCTCAAAGGGAGCAGCAAATTGAGCACCGGGGGCTCATCAACTACACCATGGTCGATCCCAGTGAGCCTAGGCCGCTTACGTCGGCATTTGAAAGTCCGACTTTTGGAGAGGATAGTTCTTTCCATGTGGAGCAGCCCGTGGGTTCCATGTCGATATCGCCATGTGGACGAGACGTAGTTCTGGCTTCAAAGGAGGGTCTTCATGTCATCGATTTAGATTCGCCGTATTCACCGCCTCGATATCTTCCTCATCATACACCATGGGAGGTCGCGGATGTTCAGTGGTCACCGTTCGCTGCTCGAGATTATTGGGTTGTCAGCACATCGAACCAGAAAGCATTGGTGTGGAACTTAGCAACGAAGTCCTGCCAGAACTCAATTGAGCATGTTCTGCACGCTCACACTCGCGCAATAACGGATATTAACTTCTCCGCTCATCACCCCGACACCTTAGCGACTTGTGCTGTGGACAGCTTTGTCCATTGCTGGGATTTGCGATCCCCTTCTCGACCTGCCATCTCGTTCTCAGATTGGTTTGCCGGTGCAACTCAAGTTAAATGGAACAGACAGGATCCCAATGTCATCGCCAGTTCCCATGATAGGTTTCTAAGGATATGGGATAAGAGAAAAGGCGCCTATCCAATTCGGTCCATCGAGGCTCATGATACCAAGATCTATGGCGTTGATTGGAATAGAGTTCGCCCAGGAGCGGTGACGACATGCGCTTTAGATAAGACGATCAAGTTTTGGGATTATACCGTGGAAGGTGAAGAGCCGGAAAAGATAATTAGAACGCCTTTCCCGGTTTGGCGCGCCAGGAACACCCCATTTGGATGGGGTGTTTTAGCAATGCCGCAGAGAGGCAATAGCGATCTTCATCTATATAGTCGCCGGGCTGGGGAAGGTGAAGATCCCGTCAAAGACCTTCCTCTAGTGCATAGCTTCCCAGGGCATAAGGGTCAGGTTAAGGAATTCCTTTGGAGAGCACGTGGAGGCGTGGTCGATGGAACTGACCACAGGGATTTCCAGCTAGTATCGTGGGGGACTGACAGGGAACTTCGTCTGCATAGAGCTGATCCGGATGTCATGCGTGGCGTCGGCTACGAGAAGGGAAAGTCATTTATATCCAACATAAACATCACCCGCAATGGTGCCGTCTACAAGAGCTTCCGTGATGAAGATGGCAGCCGAGGCCATGATGATACAGATTCTCTATCCGCATTCCAGGAGTCTGTCTCCAGCTCATCCCGTGCCTTGGGATTGAACACTATATCAGTGCCGTACGCTCGGCCGTGGACTCAGTGCGGTAACACGGATTCTAGAATCGGTATGCAAGGCAGAAGTAATCTCCGGACCGATACGAACCCCATATCCTGGATGCGAGGCGTGAAAATATCGGGTTGGGATGTCGAAACTCTAGGTGACGAAATTACGCATGTGGGAGAGAAGTTCACTAAGGTCGATTTTGACTCTGTGGACGTTAGGCAGCGGAAGGCAACTATATCTTTGCATGGACCTTGGGGGACGGAAGGTGATTCGCTTTTCTTGAAAGTGGACATAAAGTTCCCTGCCGACTACCCAAGGACTGCAATGCCAACGTTCAGTGTACAGAAAACATCGGCTGTCACAGATGAACTTGCCGACAAGCTTGTTGCAGAATTGCGTACTATTGCAGAAACTTTCCTCTCTCATAAAAGAGGCTGCCTTGAAGGTGTTGTTCGCTATTTATTAGGTGAAACCAGCTTGGAAGAAAGCATAGCCTGGATTTTGGGCGAAACAACCGAGACCGTCAAATCGCCCATGAGCGGCCAGTTAGAGACGGGAGAGTCAAGCGACGAAGATGAAGTAGGATTGTCTCAGAGTCAAGAGTTGGGGATGAGTTCTGAGCTGCTACGGCCAGTCAATGCTAATGTAATGGTACCTGTGGCTAAGGCATGTGGTGCTCTTTGGGCCAATGATGGTCGCTTAGTCTGCTTTTTCCCTACTAAAAAGGACAAGTCGGCGTCTCTGTTGGAGAACCTAGGTTTCAAGGAAATGACGCGGCTTTCGAGGGCAGACAAAGTTTTTGAGGGATTCGGCCGTCTGCAAACGAGTTCGCCTGGGCCACGGGCTTCAGGTACAATGGCGAGCACCGATGATGGTACATCTGATTACTCTGATGACTCGGACGCGGAGACCTCCAGCTCTTCTGGATCTTCTGGTATCCTATCAACCTTGCAACACCGATTTCCAACACCGCAAACATGGCGCAGTGCTGGTAGTCTTGGGCTCTATAAGCCGCGGTCCACAGACAATTCTCAGAGGTCAACTGTTGGTATGATGACATCTAAAGTGTCTGAAAATCCACAGAACATTGTGTCTATTCATGATTTTACTGAGTTGCTGCCAGCAAAACGCGAACTGGCAAACAAATACCGCATCTGCGGTAAAGGTACCGATGTATGTGCTCACAATGCTGCGGTTGCTCTCGATCATGGCTTCTATGAGCTAGCTCGAATATGGGGACTCGTCAAATTGGTCTTGCACAATAATAAAAAGTCTATCCCGACATCTGGCCTGGACACGGGTGAAAGACCCCAGCATATGCAGAGAAAAGACAGTGCCGTGGATCTGAGTTATGATCTGGGAAATCAAGATCAGCATTCAAAAGATACTGCCAATAGCGTGGTACAATGGGGAGACCACCCCTTCGGCGGACAATGGCTTGTCCCTGCCCTCTTCGAACATTTTGAACGGGTCGGTGACGTACAGATGGTTGCAATGCTCAGTTGTGTTCTGCATGAATCAGATCATGAGAAGTACTCGCCGAACGAGGAGTATCGTCCCAGCAAAACAGTATCAAAAAGGGTAGACGATCAGCCCTTATCGTTAAATAATTACTCTGCCCATGCAGCCTCGCATAATAAATTTCACACCACAACTCCACTGGGATCTACACCGAAGGACAGCCATACTACACCCATCACGCAGAGCTCTGGACGATCGTCTTCTGAAATTTGGCGTCCTGACTCAACTCCTCCCTATTCCACTGGCACAACTCCTCCGTTAGCATCGCGTACTGCAGGATTTGCAGCAGAGAGGAAGGCTATGAGCCATACTGCCTCCATAGCTGCCTCGCCTGACCAACAATCTCAGCCGCGTAGTGCATCAGGCCTTGGTTCTGTTCTTGCTTCTTCCCTTTCCCGATCTTTCACTTTTGGTCCCTCATCAGCCTCACCACCAGCCAGTGCGTTGTCTCGAAAAAAACAAAGCCCTGGCGGCAGCCCTAACACGGCCGGGGGGATATGGCCTACGAGTACTTTAATATCCAAACCTGTGTCAGCAGTTCCTGATTACCTCACCACATCCACTGCTCCTACCTCTCAAACACATTCTGATACCGAGAGTGAAAGACCGGAAAAGACACAAGCCTCGAAGCCACGAGCGAAGCCACGAGTGACGTTGAAAAACCGCGACGCTTTTGAGGGTGACGGCCTCACACAAAATACATTCATCGAAAGCAAGAAGGACGGATTGTATCGATCATACCGAGAGGCATACGCCCATTTGCTATCAATCTGGGGCCTACCTATACAGCGCAGTGAAGTCTTGAAAGTTGGGGGAGCTAATAACCGCTCCAGTGATACGGACTTCCGTCAATGGGGTTACAACAGTCCGAGGTCATCGCTTTCACTGCCGACCCTCAGACATAGAAGTTCGGTGAATTCGACTTTGGAACCAGGTAACCAAGGGCTGGAAATTCAACGACATTGCATTCGGTGTGGCCGCCCTCTGCAAATGTCAATATTCAGTAGTGAACCTGCGACGGAGATGGCAGCCAAACCCCAGATGAAGGGAGATTCTGCACCCACGATCTGCCCAGGTTGCCACCCGAAACAACCTCTCCCCTCCAAACTCCCTTGCGTTATATGCGGGGAAGTGGTTGACGGAATGCTCACGCCTTGTCTTAATTGCGGCCACGTCAGTTGCTTTGATTGCCATCAGGGCTGGTTCTCTGGGTTATCACCTGAGCTACAAGATGACACGGCCAATTGCGCTATAGACATACACGGCAATGACCAGGAATACCAGTATTGTCCCACTGGATGTGGCTGCAAATGCTCGGAGCACATCGTTACAAACATTCCGAGGCCTTGGAGCCCATCCTCGCCGACACCAGATGGTGAGACTAGTCCTTTGACCCGATCGCGGAAACAACCAGATATTTTATCCAACGTTGGCCAGCACGAAGATGATCTCGATCAATGGCATACATCGCCATTTGCCTCCCTTGCTCGGGGCCTGGGGGGTGGATTGAGTAGGGGGTTACGCCCTAAAGAGGATAGGCGAAAATCTAAGTCATCCATTTCTGGATTTGTACCAAAACGAAGTGCCATGAATCAAGTGGAAAGTACATGGCAGTAATTTGTATGGTTTGAGCGTTTGAGCTTTTTGGGAGCGAATTACATATACCCCTATGTTGTGTTTATTCGCAGTTATATCTGTGTTCTTTAGCTCGATTGACATCTTGATACTCTTGTCTCATACAAACACTGCCCTTATCTGAACCTGATTTAAGTCGCCACTCATATCCCATCGTAAAATCATCCAACCTATCTGTGTATAATCCTAGACATGACCATTCAATGCTTCCAGGATGAAAAACATCAATAAAATAAAACCATTCACCCTTATCCCCCTAAATGACTACAGCCACATGGTCATCCATGTAATCCCCAATGTTTCCCAAGAAACACGCCGCCAAAATCGAAACACCACCAAACGCAATACTAACATAATATACCCACTTATAGCTCTCCGAATAGGCCATCTGACCTGCCGCCACAACAGCCTGATACGCGGTTTCATTTCCTGCGATTCCAGGAATCTCCCGCAGTCCATCTAACAACGAGGCACCGGTGAGCTCGATTGCTTCGGCGATGTAAGTAGTATTCGTGATGTTGAGCTTTGTGAGCATGACGCCGCCGATGTAGTGTTTGGCATTTGGGACGAACTTGGATATGAAGACGTTGTAGTAGATCGTGTAGCCGATACTGCCGCCAACTACGCGGATGGAGAGGGTTAGGGCGGAGATGGTTGCGATTAGGTCCTATGGGGGAGTGTCAGGCTTTTCTCTTCGGATTTGTCTTGTTTATATTGCAGGGAGGAAATGCTCACATCTGGACAGATGATGGTTGTCATGATGGAGGCTGGGACTACGATTCCGCCGATACCTAGACCGGCGAGGGTGAGGAGACCCCATAGTTGGTGCAGGTTGTCAGGACGAGCAATTGAGATTGCGCCGCAACCTGAGACTGTTAGTTTAGATCTTATATTGTAAGAAGGTAGTGTTGGCGATGTACGAACCAGCCGTCATGAGGATACTGCTGATGATCAATAATTCTTTATTGTGGCCTCGTAGGAGACTCAGTAGCCACAGTGTGATGCAGGCACCGCCCATGATGCCGAATCCGATGGGCAAGCTTCTGACACCGACAGCAACTGGGTCATGTCCGTATACATTGAATGACTGAGTGGGCCAGAACATGATCACAGAGAAAAAGTTTGCACCGGAGATGAAGGTGATAACTAGTGTTAGACCCAGGGTACGAGGTTCTTGCTTTAAGCGGCTGGGGAAGATAGGGTACTTTGCGCAGTAGACTTCCCAAACTCCGAAAATAACTAGGAAAGCGAATCCGAGGATGAGTGGTGCGAGGACATGCGCTGATGACCAGGCGTACTGTAGCATTGGTTAGCGTCTGGGTTCAACTAGCATCAGAGTATGGATGTGGTATAAGATCTAGATACCTGATAACCGCCCCATTGCATCCCAGCCATGAACAGGATTAGTCCTACGATGCTGAGGAAGCCACCGACATAGTCAACCCGAGTCATAACCTCTTTGGGAGACAATCCTTCCGAATTAATTCTTGGTGGCGGATAATAAAATAGTGCCGTGATCAACAAACCGAAACCATTCCAGGCACCACAGAATGCCCCAACGTATCGCCAACCGCTATGGGCTGCTATAAGCTGAGCCCATAATACAGATGGACAGAACGGCACTATAGTGAAGATCAAGACGGCGACATATGTGCCTCGCTGTCTGGTAGGTGCCATTTCAGATGTTGCAGCCAGTGCGGTTAACTCGTTGACGCCCGCACCTGCACCTGCGATGGCCATTCCAGCTAATAGTGGTTAACCAGAAAAAAGATCATGCTGAAGCTAGAGTCTTACCAATGAATGTATTCATCGTGTGCGCTGTACTGCTCACAATCATCCCGATACAAATGAGGGAAACTCCAATTAGGGCAACATAGCGACGGCCCATCAGATCTGAAAGGGATCCAACAAATGGACAGACACCGGCAAGAGCGAGGAGGTTAGCTAGAACCTGCACAATATCAGAGAATTGTAAGCTCAATTGTTTCATAGTATATGGGAAGACACATCACGCACAAACCAAACCCATCGATCCGATCCGCCTATATCTCCATAGATGTAGGGTGGAACTCCGCCTGTTCATCAATTAGTATAAAGGATCGAAAACATGGCTTTAATTCAAACTCACCAAACAGATAGACAGGTATCTGACTTCCGGTCCATAAGAAGGCCATGGCTGTAAAGCCCATGAAGCGACGGAAAGTCATCTGGCATTCAAAGAAGAATGGTCATTTTTCCCAACATTCTTTGATTTGTGGAACGTTATAGAGACATTATAATAGAGCTTACAGGAGGCTCAAACTCTTGCTCACCCGACTCATCCGCATAGCCACCCGATCCTACATCTTCTTGATGACTATAACCCTGTTTGTTATGGCTATTGTCCGTATGTCCAACAGTCTTTTCGTCCACTTGCGATTGAGTGAAGTTATTGGCGAGCTCCATGACTGCTGCTGCTTTCCTATTATACAAGGAAAGAAGAGAGAAATGTTTGAGTTAGAAGTTCAATCCACGCGATTTTGCAGCAGATACATAAGGCAATCAGGTGTATGCTGCACGTTTGGAGTCAAGACAATCATAAGAAGTCAAGCAAATGTAGAAGTAGATCAAGTATAACAAGCTTTCCCCAAGCGCAGGCCTGCATATTATACCCACCGAATGTTAGGTGCACAACGAAAGGGTTGACTTCCGCAATAGGCATGGATCAACGATGCTTAAGCACTGTAACCTCATGCGAATGATGATACTAGTCGAAAGTGGTGGCGACTGAAGAGACACACCAATCAGGCCATGCCAAAAAGAGCCTAGAATTCGGTGATATTTCCAAACAGAGACGCAGCCGAGGCGTTTTGCAAGTTTCTGGAGTTGTCAGTGCGCTATTACCGAACCATATCCAAGGGGAATTCCGGGGAAATGCGGGGGAAACGTGGAGAAGTTCGCCATCGTCGATGGTCTAGACAATAGGTAGCTTGAGTCAAGATCAAAGACTCACACATGTCAGCCACCCCCTCATGTAAACCAAGTTTTAGAACAAAGATATCAATTGCCCGGATGGTCTAGTGGTATGATTCGCGCTTAGTAAGCCTACCTATTATCAACTCAAAATCACCTTTCAATTTGCTAACAAAATCTCCAGGGGTTAACCCAAAGCATTGACTGCGCGAGGTCCCCGGTTCGATCCCGGGTTCGGGCCTTTATTTTTTGTTCTCAATATTTTTTCTCCTCTTTAGCATTTTTTCTTACTTTTTCTTGATTTGTTTGTTACCTGGCTGTTTCTTCTAACTTAAAGCTTTTGCCCCAAAGGTGGCTGCGAATTTTGTCAAAGGACAACATAAACTAGACGTCCTAAAGCCCAGTCACGTAATAGTGAATTCACTCTATAGAAGAATCTTTATAGTCTTGTGGACCTCCCTCTCTTCAAAATTGCTGTACATATACAAACAGACAAAGAATGTCTCGTGTTGTGGAAATTAAATGACGCTGCCCGCGAACTGGGAAACAGCTTGAGGTTGCTCCCGTCTGGGCAAAGCCCTACCACCGTATTGTGCAATCCCTCAATAATTGGCTCCAGAATCCAATTGTTGCCTCAAGAATAAGGTATAAGTAAGGCATTAGTAGCTAAAGCATTGAGTCGTGAAGATCCGTTGGCATATAGGAATATCGGGACTCTTGCATCTCAGTACCGCTCCCCAATCTCCTCAAGTTTATACTTCTTGGGAACAACGAAGAGAGCAGATGCTTGAACACAAAGCCTTCCAACCGGGTCGCGTACTTCTCCCGTCACGTAGGCTTTGCGATCCGTGGTTTGTTCTCGGTCGATGCTGGAGTGGAAGGTATAGAAATTGCCCGAGTATACCGGAGCGCGGTATTTAATCTCAAGGTTTGCCGTAACTCCTGTGCGCTCTGGGAAATGGCGAATTGCCACACGGCCTAGATTCTCATCAATGACGGTGGCAAGAGCTCCGCCGTGGACAACAGTTGGCCATCCTTCCAGGCCATTCCCGAGATAGACAACGCTAACGGCCTTCCGCTCTTTGTCGTTCCAGAAGACTTTCTGTACAATGAATCAGCTAAAAGTTTTGGCTAAGATTCAACTGATCCAATACAAGTAGGAGAAGTTCTGTACGACAGTTGCACTGCTCTAAACTCTCTTTACGGCGGCAGGTTCACAGCATGTTGCACAGTAGGAGCCTAGTGAAGCGACGAACCTGTAGTGCTAATCCCCGACTCCCTCTCAATGGACCAGATGTAAACCTCTGCTTCTTGTCCTCCTCGGAATAGTTCCCATACACGTCCGCTTCCACGTAGTCCGGATTGCTTCGGAGCTCCTGCACAATAGGCAGCCCATTTTCGTATACTCGACGAATCTCCTCCAGTTTTAGGGCATCCTCTGCCGTTGCGGGTTCTACCGGCGCAGAAACCTTATTGTCCATCCACTTCCCTGCCGCGACGCCGAGGCCACCAAAGATTCCGACATAGATCAGTCGTCGCGGCCACTTCGATCTTTCAGGTGCAGGTTGATGGGTTATAGTACTGGTGCTTCTTGAGATCTGGGGATTGAATTGTAATGACAGCTGAGACTGAGTTCCTAGGCTGCGTAACCGGGATTGTAGGGCTCTGCGGGTGCCAAACATGGTGTTCACATCGCAATCTTGCGGGTGGTCAAGAAAGTTGGATTAGCTACGAACTAATGGTTCATATGCCGAGGCATCTAGCTTTGGATCACGTGATATACAGGGAGAATACGATATCTTGATTGCTCTTGAGAAGCTCGCTGTAGATGTTTTCCTTATTCTAACCATTGAGTCTATCCAACATAGCTCGCCTGAAGGCTCCCCTGGCTCAGACAACTTCCCTTGGTAGAATCCAACGAACAGGATCCAGCTGGGTGCCACAACAAAGAGACAACACGAATAAAAGCCAAAGTGTTTTCCCCACTGATACAGACGTCACTCGTGTTCCACATGTGCACATAATGTTATTATCATCATTCAACCTGTTATTTCATGAAACCAAGGCCGTTACTACGGGCATCCTTAGTCCGCAGTGGGCAGGTCAATCGCGCGGTAGAGGAGAATCAACGCAGAATGAGACTCGCCTATAAAATTGTCAGCAAAAGACCCATCTTATTGATTTTTTCTTGAATGACATACCGCCACCAGAAAGAGTCTCAATCTTCTCCGCCTCCACTTCAGTCACTTTCTCATCGTTGAACCACCACCACTTTCCATCCTCTTCTTTGTTACCATGGGCTTGTTTCTTGACATATGCAGTGTAGTGGCCACTGTCAGCGCTGGCACCTTGGTGTGTGATTACTCCTCGTAGCTCATAAAGGCCTGATTTGTTGGTACCCTCGTCGGAGCGAAGCTTAGGATCGATAAGTTCGGAAAGCTCCTTCTTTGCTGCAAGGATAGAAGCCGCCTTCTCAGCTTCGTATTCTGCATCGGACTTGAAGACGTCAGTCATTGCCGAATCATCATCCTTCTCGGTAGCCTTTGCATCTTTCCGTTCTTCGGCGGCTTTCTTTTTCTGCATTGGCTCCAAAGACTCAGATTCCACTTCGGTAGACTTCACTTCATCCCGCTGATGGGCAAGCTTCTGACGCTTGCGAGCACGCTCAACATCAAGTTCCTCCTTTCGGATCTCCCGTACTTTGTCACGAATTGGGATAAGTTCCTTTTTGAGCTCATCCGTGCAGAAGTCTACCGCATCAAGCTCGGCAGGGAATGTAACTTTACGCATGATCTTGGCCTTCTTCTGGGTTTCGCGCTTCCAAAAGAAACGAACGAAGTGCACAGTCAAGTATTTAGGCAATCGAGCAATGTGTGAACGTTTTGTGTAAATGGCATCACGGTCTAGAGTAGGGGAGTGCTTTTCAATCTTCTCTTCAAGGCCGGCTTTTATGCCATCATGCAAATGGTTTGTTTCTTTACCGATGTGACAATCAAGCTTGTAGAAGACATCCGAGCTTGGGGTGGCTTGCTCGCCAGCCTCTTTCGCTCCCGGCTCATCACATTCCGTCACAGACTCAAACCGTCCAGCAAGGTATTTATCCACGAAAGATATTTCATTGCTGGATTCGCCCTCGCCCTCCTTGATTAGCAGCTTGTTCCGCAGTTGAGTTACGATTTGAGACCATGCCTCTTCAGCATCTTGCTGGGCATAACCATGACCATTTCGATCTCTCTGAGCGAACTGGGGGAACACGTTCCTCAAAGCATTCAGGAACATAAGAGGCGGAAATCCCTCCTGCGTTTCAGACATTTGCTTGAATAAATCCCGCAAAGAAGCAGTCAGGTCCATTGAGGCGCCGATGCCACCAAGGCCAAAACTGCTGAGATCCGAGAGGTTCGATGATCCACCAGCACCTGCCGAAGAGCGATACCTCAGAAGCTCCTGTTGGAGCTCAGGAACACTTCTCAATGTCTGCAGCGTAGAGTTGAGGTAGCAAGTATTACCAAGGTTCTGAAGACCAGCAGGGGTAGCTCCCTCTGCTCTTGCAGCCTCAGCCTCCGTCATATCCTCCAGGAACTTCACTGCTTCTTTCGGGCGGCCCAAATCCCCGGATCCTTGGCCTCCAGATGGCGTGCCCATCATCATGAATGTCTGGCCCGGTTTGGCGTTGAGCGAGGACAATGGAGTTTCATCCTTGAGTTGTCCTCCTTTGACCAGAATTTTCTGTCGTTCGGGTTCCACGCCGGTGAGGGAATATAATTGGTACTTAAGCGTTTCACCGTTCGAGGATAGATCAAGTTCGACCTCATGACGTTTGCCCTGGTGCTTCACGATAACTGTAGTCTATGAGTTAGAAATATTCGAAGTCATGAGAAAATTCATATAGAAAAGTAGAGTCAGATACCTGGTATAGACGCCATTTTGTCTTGATTTTCGAGAGTAACCTCAGAAAGCCACTTCTTGACTTCGGCTTGATGAAAGTGACGCATAAACAAGAGCATCATCACCCGTTACGCTTCGGGGAGGCGTGGGGCAGGGAGTGCAAACAAGGCAAACGAAACATCGCGGCCTTAGCGGGACCGCCTGTGCTCCTGAAGGTGGCACTTGACACCTACATCTATTCCTATGCTTGCTTCCTGGGCCTGGATATAAACATAAATTATTAAGCCTTCAAATTTGTGACCTGTGGGCCTTTGGTCTGACTTCACTTACGCAAAACAAGTTGTTGATGGGCTTACCAGCGGAGTAACAACGGAGACCCCAGTATACGTCACACTTCCAATATGGTGAGCTAGGTCAATCCGAAGCTAACAATTGATCGCTAACAATTGAAGTCTCAATCACTGCGTCCATATCTTCAATGCGTCCGAGCCTCTCTCACTTCCGCGCTTGCGGTTTCGAACTTCGCTTCCCAGACGTCCGAGAGACATAATGTACCAGAAATCGAGGCCCAAAGCTCTCCTGAACTCCTTCTTAACCCGCTTACCGTCTCTCGCAATGAAAATGAGAAAGTCCTCATCGAACCTAGTGTGAACAGTGTCCGTGTCAGCATTCGGATCAAACAAGCGGACGAGATCGAACACAGTATTACTCTCCATTCGGATGCCTGCTTCTTTTCGACCCCGTTATAACGATCAGGTCATGTATAGTGCTAGATACTAACAATTATATACAGTTTTGGTCCACAAGTTCACCCGGTTTTTGACGCAGCGAGCCGAATCTTTCTTCATCTTACGTCGGAAGCCAGTAAAGGTCAAGCACCTTAATGTACTTACCGCGTCCATGGATACAGCATGCTAATAAGTCAACAGGGTTACGATATCTCGTTTCTAATAACGAACCGAAACGTAGAGGAGATGCTCAAGCACAAGCTAGTCGACTTCATTATCCAATTTATGGAGGAAGTTGATAAAGAGATTTCCGAGATGAAGCTTTTCGTATGTACCCTCTTATCCACGGTATGCCCGCGTATAATAGTAGTATTGACAACACGCAGTTGAACGCCCGTGCGCGATTCGTCGCTGAGTCTTTCTTGACACCTGTAAGAACCCATCTAACGACGCCCCCTGCACTCTGAACACTGTCAAATTAACCAATAACCCATAGTTTGACTGAATTCTTGCTCATAATGTTCATTTTTATGGTTCGTGAGATATCCATGACCTCCACTTTTTATCCAATAGCGAGTATTGTACAGGCGATCTAGGCTGGTGATGGGGGCTACTCTGCTTCGCTCAATGATTTATTCCCTTTCCTAGATCTTGAAGTCATTTGGAGTTTAAATGTATGGTGAGCTTTCTCACAACTTACTCTTGACAGTAGATTTTGGTATACGCGAAGTACAACCATACTAGTAACAAGCACTCGACACCAGTATGTTTTATATACCGTGGCTGCTTAGCTTCTTGATGAAGTGTCAAAAGGATGCATGGTTTGATCAATTGCGCTAAAGTGATTCCACAGTGTTCAGGATGATATAATTGATGATCTTTCACGAGACCGAGATAAGACAGAGTGTTGCCCTGTAGCAGTGCACGAAAGATTATGTCAGTAGTATAGATGCCATAATCAATGTGAATGCATACTGTAGCTCCTATGTAGCATCGAAATAGCCAATAACCGGACTTCAATATATCTACATTGTTATATTTTTTAGCTCTTGTGCAATCAACATGTACTTGGAATATGATCAGATGTTTGGAACTAAGGTTCATGGGAAGATGGTGAAACTGTAAGTTGTGGTACAGATTGGATTAGAATGTAGATATGTTACACTGGTACGCCTCTATAGCTCAGTGGTAGAGCGCTTGACGTATGTGAACCATTCTATTAAACTTGATTATTTCCTCAAACTAACAATGAAACAGTTGTATTCTGATATCAAGAGGTCCGTGGTTCAATCCCGCGTGGAGGCATTGTTTTTTTCTTCGACTTGCGCTATCTAAGGCCGTTGAAGGCTTTCATTATCGTACTAAACGCGCTCCGTTTTTAGGTAACGAGATATAATACTATAACGATTTCAAGACTTTCCATGAATTATACGCTTCTAACCCAATATATTGAGGCATAAATGAGCTCTCATCTGAGGTCAACTCCATACAGTCCATGCGTTTAGGCATATTGTAAAGAGCTTATTGAGGTTGGCAATTAATTACTTAGGCATTCTGCCGCTTCGCGATGAAGGGGTCGCTTATCTGGCCCGCACCTCTCATCAATGAAAGAACGACCTCTTCCATATCAAACCAAGGGAATACCCATGACAGAGCTGAATGGCTTTATAATAATATATCTATAGCTGTCTATTGAACCCCACACAGACGCCTGTCCCGTCTACTGTAACAAACCTGATAGGCAGTATGCCGGGCGCACGGTCCCTCCTAAAGAGGTTTTCCAATCTCAATTGCATCCCACTGTAGGCGGTAGAGGGCCGCCGCACCTTATAAATTCGCCTTTATAGCTCAGTGGTAGAGCGCTTGACGTATGTGATACCATTATTCTTAACTTAACACGTCAATCAAACTAACAGTTCCAAAGTTGTATATTGAACGGTATCAAGAGGTCCGTGGTTCAATCCCGCGTGGAGGCATTATTTTTGCTTCTTTAAACTACTGCTGAGTAGTTAGTACAAACTAAATTAGTACCCAGTAGAACCTTCGGTTGAAGCAACAGTGCTGGCTGTATTAGTTTGATTACAGTGGAAGTACGGGCAACTACAACTGTGGATGGTAGAACCACTGTCCATAGTTAAGCTTTGTCGAAATTTTTGGCTCTACCACTGACCGACTATTCCATTAACCTTAAAAATTACACTGTGGCAATATGACTTATTTAATACCTTTTTTTTTTAAAAATAAAAAAATATATATATATATATCCTGCATAGTAGTCGCTCGACACAAAAAGAGAACTGATATGCTTTAAGACACAGTGCCGGCACTGTATTCCATAGTTTCTTCAACCATAGAACCTCCCCTGCTAGGTAGGTCATAAATAGCGACCTTTGTGCAGAAATCCGCCTCTATAGCTCAGTGGTAGAGCGCTTGACGTATGTGATCTCCGTTATTCTGAAAATTAACACATTAAACTAACATTCAAAAGTTGTACCTTGATATCAAGAGGTCCGTGGTTCAATCCCGCGTGGAGGCACATCATTTTTTTAATGTCCTGCCTTTATCGACATAATCAAGATTTCGAGCAGTAAATTTCCATAATGTACGGAGTAAGAGCAATTTCTTTACAGGGAAATTTTTTTTTAAAAAAAAAAAAAGAAAAGAATCAGCGCCAGAGCTATTTCTAAGAGTGTGATCACTGAGATCGTGGAAGAACCCGCTTACATACATATTTCTGTGAGCAATTAATGGGGCTGGTTGAAGTAATGGCTTTTAATAGTGCAATGATTCTCAGGATCATCTATTTAAATGTGCCATCTTCATGCCAAAACTATATATTAGCTTTGGAAAACCTCGGTCTCACTACATGCCACAACTGCAAAGCTGCAGGAAGTCTGAGTCTGCCTTTGCATATATGATACTTTGGAAGATATGAACTCGTAGTAGGCCCGCAGCGAGGCCAGTCTCTATAGTTATTATTCTATATCGAACTGATTAAGCAAAAATTATAGGATTTCGTAACACTCCGGGTCGCCGAGATCCTCCGGTTGAGGACAGCGATAACAACGAAGTACAAGAGGGCGTGTGCAGCGACTCATATTCTTTTCATATACTGAAATTATTGGGCTTATGGAGTGTTGTTTGGAATACTCCCAATGAGCAACGAGTTTCTATATACACACAAGGCTTCTTAAGCACTGCTCAAGATCATCCTCTGTCTTATCTCTATTTCTTCTTACTATTCGCTCGACCCTAAATCTAAGATAAAACTTATACTTTCACTGCCACTGTTGTCCTTGGTCGCGCCGGCTGCGAGCGAGTAATAACAAAGAAAGAATAGGTTGATGTGTCTCACTACTCCATACATTGCTCGCAAAAGCACAAGTCCTACGCAGGAATACCCGGCTAATACTTGGCGGCGGTCTAAACTCGGAAAGTGATTAGGTGTTACTAGGGCTTTTGCCGATAGCAAAAAGGGAGAGCCATACCGCTTCTATTTCGGAAGGTAGGTACTTAGTTATAATAGTTTATCCCGTACAAAGCGACCCATGGGAACCGAATCTTGGATCTTCATAACCTCAATTTTCAGTATGTCGTAACCACCACACGGTTCTACCTCATTACTTTGTGGCTGAAGGGGACTCAGCCATGCGGCCGTCGTAGTGAAGTGATTCAGCACGCATAGTCATTGCTAACTACTAAAAAGATACCGGTATAAGGTTGACATGAATAACCTCAGTCCTGCCCATGAAAACAAATATCCCCACCAACAACGCCCCTAGGTCATCCATCGTTCATCTCTGCCGAGAGTTGACGCTTGCAGTCCAGATAGTGTCCTAATGTAACAATTAGCTCATAACGTACGTCGAGAGAGTCTGCGGACACCTACTCTCTCATTCATCTAGGCATAACATCTATAAGAGTCAATGGCATCCCAGGATGCAGTGTTGCACGTTTGTCCGGCATTGCAATAGTACGTGCTGCCAAATGGATTGCCACAGCCAGTGGTGTAAAACTCGCAACGGTCTGTCCCCGGTGGCGGCACTTGCACGTTGCATAGATTCTCAGTTCTGAAGCCGCTCACATTAGAGCAGCTATCTCCACTTGTTTCGGTTTGCTAGTATTCGTCGCTGCATCCGTGCCATTTCACGATCGTGTTAGCAGCTTGGACTCCCGACATGAGAGCCATGAGAGTAGGTATAGCGCTGAGAAACTGCATCTTGTCTCTTGAGACGATGGTTCTGTCTTCGAATTCTGTAGTTCTGTGGTTCTGTGGACTATGATGTGAAGTAGGATTAGGGGAAGGCGAAGGTGAGCCATTCCTGGTGAGTACAAAAACGCATATTTATTGTAATCCACGCCTGAGCTTCTCCTCCATCTGTCCACAACTGAGGCAATGCTCCCCTTCGACTTGTCGATCCTCTCTTGGCGAGGCAGCCCGAACAGACTTACAATAGCCGTATCATATTATTTTATCCGAATATACATCCGCGATCGGCAACCGCAAGTTGAGAATACCACACATAGGCCACGCCAGCTGAAAGGCAATGGTGTCAGTATATAACATTGCAGTGAAATATTTATTCAAAAATGAAATCACATAATTCCTTCACAGGTATCTAGAATGTTCCATGCAGAAGATATCATATCCCGTGCCACTTCCATTCTCTGGTCAGAATGAATAGGCGGGAGTTCAAGGATAGATACCCAAGAACAGAATCTTAACAAAGGAGACGCAACTCCGCGACAAGCAGTCAGTTATCTAATACATAGGCACCTCCAACATACTCAACAGTATACGCGGTGGAGCCCGGTGGCCTGGTTCTGACTCTGCTGGTAGTGCTCGATATACACAAAGCAGGAGCCACTCCTGGCAGATGCGTCATCTTCACCGACAACCAAGCGGTAGACCCGAAGAATATACCTCCCGAAGGAAAAGGATCATGGACGCTGCTGACCACAACAAGAACAATTATCCAAAGTTACGGGTGGAAAGGCGGCCGTTTCAGGTACCAAAGCCTGTCATTTCTGTTGTCGACTTCACAACTCCCTATATTCTAGTTGTAGATATATACAAGTTTATCCCATCATCATGGATCTTATGTATATAGCGCCGATACGCTTCGTTATTAACCAATGCAGACTGTGCAAGCAACCACCTTCCCACTTTAGTCATATGGGTAGATACTTACTCAGTTCCCTTATATTCTACGTGCACGCTTTTTGGAGGCATACCAGAATCGTTGAGCTCTCTTGCTACATATATTCATTTACAGTTGAGGAGTATGGTAATATTTTCAAGTAGCACTCTGGTAAGTAGTAACAGCCTCTATTCATCTTAACTATACTTCTATAACTTCATTGTTTAGTTGTTTGATATAACAAACCTTTACCATCGTATATAGTTTGTTATGCCCTATGCTTTATAGTTTGAGCCTGTTTCTATAGTCTATATATTTGTGAGAATGGACATGTAATATTCACATATCTTACCTCTTTCTACGTTGTCTTGATTATCTTCCTACCCCTTTCCTGCTTGCCTTAGGACATACTAATAGTTTATATAGAACCAATACATGTACAATCTCATCTTCCATCACCCCTCATCACGACTAATCGATTACTCGATTAGTCGTCAATGACTGAGATAAAAATATAAATGAAACACAAGTGAATTCTGCATGTTGGCGTGCACTTCCAACCAAGGCTCTCGGCGCTGCCATAGTTGAGATCCCCACGCTTTTCACTCCTAACACAGATCATAATCATCTTTCTCATCACTTCATACTATCCTGCTGTTCTTCCAACTCCTTTCCTGATGGCTACCAGGCACCCAGTTGACCCCTTTACGGGACATAACTCTCCTGGCCCACATCATGGTCCATATCGAGGTCGTGAAGACACCATAATGCAGCCTTCCCAGACACCGGAGCCGGGTCCTTCTGGGACGCCTAATCAACAGGGGCAGTTCCCGAGTCTAAAAGGCCTATACGCCCATCTTCCTTCTATGGGAGAAGCTGCACGTGGATATTATCCCTATGACCCTGCACAAACCCCAACTCCAACCCCTCGGAACCCTCATCCTTTTAGCCAGCTACGAGCTGTACATAGTCCTCTCCCTGCTCCTGTGCCCCAGCATCCGTTCCATTATGGGCCCCCAGGGCTTCTCTCTCCTGCATTCTACCCCGCTGAAGGCACCATGGCTCCTCAGCCTATGAGAGCCAGAGCCCAGGGGCAAGAAGGAAACTTTGAGCACATCCCAGACCTAAACAAACCGTTTAGTACAGTTGCTATGAGGGAGGAGATGCCTATTGGCAGTTCTGTGCATACTCGTCAGGCACCACGCTGGGGTGTTATCAAGATATCAAACGTAAGTGAGCTTAGCTTCCTATGAAGGATGCTACTGATAAACGTAAAGATTCCTTATTCAGTTACCAAAAATGAGATCGCGCAATTTGTTGGACGCCCAGCACGCCTTATCAAAGGATGCCCAATCCATATTATCATGGAGCGCTCGACTGCGAAAACAATGGACTGTTTCGTTGAAACTGAAACTCAGGAAGCAGCCCAGAGAACAGTTGACAGAATCAACAGCATCTATGAGACTGGCCGAGCACCCCGCCTTGGTCTTCGCCGTGTGGATGTGGAGTACAGTAACCAAGATGCGCTCTTGAAAGACCTCTTCCCGAGGGCCAAATGCATCTCCTGGGAAGATGGTATGCCTATCGAACTTCCAAACACTGATCCGTACTCCACGGGCTTTTCGGGTTTTATTACTAGTGAAGAGATTGTAGGAGCGATTCGTCATGCTGAAATCCCTCACCGTGTAAGTGAACTACTCGCGCACATCTTCTGAAAAGGACTAACATGTTGAGCACCCTCTAGTCGCCTTTTAGTGTTAAGTGCCCCCAGCGCACCTATGAGTCGACAATCAGTACACTTTACAAGGTATTATGTCACCACCCACAAACAAATGGAGAATGCGTATCTCACCTTGCATATAGTATCCATGGTATGCCCCAATGTTGTACACGGTCGATGATCGCAATCAACTGTTTGACCTGACGAATCGGCACTTGATATCTCTTGCATCCCGCATTGACAGAACTCAAACCATGGGCCTGGACCAAAATCTGCTGCGAGATCTTCTCTATGCTGGATTTAATTGTCCGGCCTTCAATGAACGTCAGAAATATACTCTGTGTGTGAATTCTAACCTTGCACCAGAGATCGCTAGGATTCCAGATATCAGCAAGTGGTTTCCGTTCGACACTTTAGTGCAGCTGCCCGATTTCAACAAGGATACAATCTTGGTAAGCATCTTGTCTATTTTCATTGGAGCCCACTCCAGACTATTTAACTTTCTTCTTTTTTCTTGACAACTGATACTTACCCGTTATTCTTCCAGTATTATGCAAACTTGATATCCAGGGGAACGATCCCCGATCATGGAATCCCACACCTGACGAACACTTTCCCGCAGGATAGGAATGATCTTCGCTCTCCGTACGGTCGTGTGTGGTTCGAGTGGCCCGCAGATATCACTAAAAAGGTGCCCTGGGAAAATGCTGTCCGGATCGAGATGCAAATACTAGGCAATCTTGTCCTCACTGGATGGGTGACAAAGGACAACGAAGCCAAAGCTAGACTTGCAGCTGCGGGACCCTCGTCTTCAACCAGATATGACACTCGACGCACCCACAGTGGTTCAGTTGCTAGCCCTGAAGAAGGTCTAGGTCTCCAAACATCCTCCAGGCTTGAGATCTTCGCCACTCCATCGCGCCGTGTGACCAAGGCTGGTCCATCTCATCGTTCAGAGCGGGAAGAGGCGGATGAAACCCCTCGTCCATTCAATGACAGCGATCAAAGCCCTTGGACCCGGAGGTTTCTCATGTTTCCCCCTGGCACGGCAAGGGAAGGTTTTAATTTTGGCCATCGAAACACAAAGTCCTCTCCAGGTAATCTCACACCTTCAGGTGTTTAGTTTTCGGGCTACACGTTGAAATCTGGAACTTAAATATCGCTATCTGGTCCATCTGTCATTCTATGACAATATTCCAACTAATTCCTTGGTTTTCTTTACGAACAGTTCACTTAATTTTTTTGCGTTCAGCTCCTGCTCAGTCAGTTTGGTGTTGCATTGTCCTTTTCTCCAGATATACTGCATTCGATATCGTATCATCGATCATCTGAAGAGATAGTAACGTTTGCACTGATTAGCTCTGACATGAATAGAATATCTGGACAGTCTTGGGCCTGTGCAGGAAGCACATTTTTGTTATGCTTTGTCTCCTTTTTTTTTCACTACAGTTTTGCTTGTGCTTTTGTTCTCCCTTACATTGTTCCCCTGGGTTTTAATCAGTTCTTAGTCATCTCCATGACATGAGACCTAAAACCTATACCATATGAGGTTCGATGTCGACAGCTTTCTAGTCTCTTTCTTCTTTTTTCTAAGCTTTGGTGCGTTGCCATCTTCTCCATCGTTCGTCTAAAGCTTTATCGATTCATAATGTCCTTCGTGACCGGGAAATAATGCCAAGGAAATCCGATGTGGGTAACGCTATTAGTTGAATATAATGGTATTCTGTTTCTATGATTCCATCCGGTCACGGTTCCTTAGTAGTTTCCAACGTATCTTGAACTTTGTTGTCTTTCGCCTGGTCCTGGAGAAGTTTTTTTCTCATCAGCCCCTCAGCTCTCATCCTCTCTCGTCGTGTCTGGGCATCCTCCCATCCGGGAGGTTTGGTCTTCTTGCTCGTCTTTGGCCCTCGATTTGCAGAGTATAAATCCAGCAAATTCTCCCGGAATCTTGTTTTCCGTTCCGTATTGACTGCGAACCTTTCATTTGAGATTGCAACCAACATCTGCAGATACTCCTCTGTTACTAAGCTGCGGATGGCTGGTTCGTCGGTTGTTGTCGCATCGGCGTCGCTATCCTCACAGTACCCGATCACTGACTCCAGGGATAAACCTGCAGAGCGCACGGCGACGATCGGACTAGGACCTTCATCACCCTCCAAACAGCGCAAGCTCTGTAGCCCGCTTTCGCGGAAACCGGAGCTTGAAGCGGCAGATAATACGGGGTGAGCATGTTGCAGCGTGGCTGCCATAATGTGAAGAATCTGTGGAAAGCGTTCTCAGTACTCGCGTGCAGCAAATTGGTGTTTAAGCTACTCCATTTCCAAATCCCAGCACCAGACCGGGTGGCATAATGTAGCAAGAATAGAGGCTAAGCTTTGACCTTAAGGGGAACAAAAGGACGATACATATGTTCACAAGCATACAAAGAAACGCAAGCTTTGTTGTAAAAGTAGACAATGCCGGGGACAGATGCACTTCCGTCGAAGAAAACAAAGAACGTAGGATTGAACTAACGTACCAGAGGCTCGAAATGGAAGCGCACGAGACGCGGGGCTTTTCCTTGTTTGTTCAGCCCGGGGGGTTTACCATCTCCAGGAACCATTCCAAACAACTCATGCAACGACTTCGCTTGATGACCGCCTCTTTCAGGACTTTTGCTGCCAGAAAGTGCACCATAGCCTTGCAAAGGATCGTGAGAAACATACAGCCATTTTCCAGCACCTTTACCCCCCGAGGCTACAAACTGTCTCCCTTGCTCCTCCTGCGGCTTCGGCTGCTTCTTCCGTCCCTCTAGGAACACGCTGATACGCCCCGCGCAGCTACTAGTAGTAACCAGGCCTGGCTGAGTGTTAATATCATGAATGAGGTCCCGAATGCCCTCATCGACAGACCCCTTGGGCGAGAGGTCTGTGTACTCTGCATCGGGAACGGAGAGTTCTGCAAGAATTTTACGCTTGCGAGATTCAAAAACCTCAGGTATCGCGCTTGCTTCGACTTCACTCATGGCTAGCTTGATTTATATTAATTTATTTCCCCCCTCATGTGGAGTCGTTGTTGAGCAAGGGATAGAAACAGGTTGGTTATGGTGCGCTGCTGTTTGGAAAAAGAAAGAGGCTATCGGCTAATATCTTTGGGTGAAACAGGTGGGTCAAATGAATATTAGACAAAAACAAAAATTGATAGAACCAGAAGAGTACCACAAGATATACAGTACACCAAGTGAGTGCTTTGTTCTTAGCCCGACAAATCCTGAAATGGGTTCATTCCGAGAGTGACGACGTTTAACGATCGCACTAACTTTAGTAGTTGCGGGAGGCAAAGAATTGCCCGCTTTCCCACGCGAAAACCGCCCCAGAAGTTACCAACCTCCTGGTCGCATTCCCGGTCCCTTCTGAACCGTCTCAAAGTCTATCAGTCACTAACGACCCCGTAGTTCGGTCAAAAGGTTTACAAGCTGCCGCGGGAGCTTATCAAATACTATACCACCCAGATCTCTCCTATAAGTTATTTCGCTCCACTCTTGCATACCTAATTGTGCCTACAAGGAACAGCTTCCATTTACGTTTTCTTCACAACCGGAGAAAAACCCGAAAACCTTTCTCTTGCCATGCCTCGTCGATCGTCTCGGGCCGTTCCCGCGTCGGCGGCAGCACCAGCGCCAGTACCAAAAAGGCGCGCGTCTGACAGACTCCCCACTGCCTCCAAGACAGGACCAAAAAGACAAAAGCCCGACATCACCAGTACCACCACTGGAAGGCCCGTCAGGTCCACCGCAAAGAAGAGCAAATATTTCCAGGAAGAAAATTCAGATGATTCAGAAATTGATTCCGACAATGGCTCACTGTCGGAGGATTCCCCCTCCAAGTACGACGACTCCGCATCGGAGGATGCGGAATCAGATGCATTTCCCACAGCTGATGAGGCGACAAAAACCCCAAAAAGAAAACCCGGGAGACCACGAAAGAGCCCAGGGAGCAATAAGGGAGACACAGGAGGTACCGGAAAGAAATCGGATAGTATTCTAGAAGGTGATACGAACAAAGCATTGAAAGATAAGCAGTTGTGGAAGGAAGGTGTCAGAACCGGTCTTGGGCCTGGAAAAGAGGTCTTCATCAAGAAGCCCAAAGCAAGGGAGGCAGGTACTGTGCCCTACCAGGAGCATACCTTACATCCCAACACCTTCCTTTTTCTTGTGGACTTGGCAGAGAACAATGAGAGAGCTTGGCTCAAAGGTAACAATATACCACGAGGAAATCTGGGCTCTGAATCACAGCTGACTATGATCACCTTTGACAGCGCACGATGCGGACTACCGCGCCTCTAAAAAGGATTGGGAGAGCTTTGTTGCAAGTCTCACCGAGAAGATTTCAGAGATGGATAGCACGATTCCTGAGTTGCCTGTTAAGGATCTGGTGAGTGCTAGTAGTTGAATTGGCAGAAAGAGTTCAAAAGAGATGGCTGCATTAACAAGTATGTGCGTTGGTCCAGGTATTCCGTATACATAGGGACATTCGGTTCAGCAAGAACCCTACTCCTTATAAAGTACGTTGGAACTTTGAGCATCTTCACTTCTAGTGACCATCCCTTACTGGTACTGGATTGTAACGCCAGACTAACAGTCGGGTTTGAACAGACACACTTTTCAGCTGCCTGGTAGGCAAAAGAACCAATACTAAAAGAAAACACAGTCAATTAAACAGCTCCATAGGTCCCGTACAGGCAAAAAGGGCCCTTACGCTGCTTATTATGTCCACTGTCAACCTAAGTCCTGCTTTGTCGGTAAGTAACACCAGAAGAACATTTCAAATGTTTTCATTTATTCGAAAGGCTATGAGCCAATTGCCTCCAAATATGATGTTGCACGGTTTAGAGAGCATTTACCTCAACCTCTTCTGGGGGTCGCATTTATGTCATGATGAAGATGTGTCTCCATGTTCAGCACGTCTCATTGTGGGCCGAATGCTCTAAGCCTAGAACAATGGGACGTTGCACGACATCTTATATCCAACCGAATCATTGGCGGTGAAAGTATGTGCTAATGGCATGTCTCGGGTGATCTTAGGTTCAGGTCTCTGGCATCCAGAGGCGGACAAACTTGCGCTTATGCGAGAGGATATCGACAGGAATTCGCATCGCTTGAAGGCGGTCTTAGGAGAGGAAGGAATGCGCCGCGAACTTTTCAATGGGGTACCTGATGAAGAGAAGGCTGTCGAGGCTTTTGTCAACCAAAATCAAGAAAGCGCGCTCAAGACCAAACCCAAGGTAGGCAACTCATTGTTCCTCAAACATTGCTCCACAGCTCAAAGGGTCTTGTGACCTTGTTATTCTTATTCTACCACCTATGCGGTCTAATTGCATCAAATCGTTTCGTTGGTGAGATAGATGCGCCCATTCTTGAGGTTCGAAGGCGACTCGGTCGCGTCTCATCACTAAACATGGCGTTTGGTACTCGTTAGTTTTCATCTCAAATGACACAGGTCTCCATCAAAAGTCCTGTCTCTGAACATAAACAGAGCTAAACACGTCAGCCTGACACATGGGTTGATTGAGGTGCCCAGATGCAACTTCTGCGAAGCACTGGCGGTCGCCATGGACGTGGGATCTCCCTTATCGTCAACAAACTGCTAGTGTCTTCAGCATCATAAATTGAGGGAGAAAATCATCTCGGCAGGAAGATCTGGTTCTCAGTGACCATTCCCTAAAAGATTCGTTGCCTTATGGGCGTCAACAGCCTCCCGTGACAGCAAGTCTAGTGACCAGTGTTGCTGGGTGCAAGCGCAGCAAGCGCGGACGGGCGATCCCGACTGGTCTACCCGTCCGGGTCGCACCCTTTTCCCACACAAGCCCCTGGGGCCTTTCATGTTTGCCTTTGGGTTCAACGTCATTGCTATTCTTCGGCCTAGCACGGAAATTCCTCTGGCGTCCCACAGCGTGTTTTGGTCTCGAAAACTTTTCTACACCGTCTCATCTGTTTCCATGGTTCACCATCAGCTTTAACCCGGCGGGTCATCGATGCTGTCCAATTACAATGCTAACAAAATATTTTTCTTACCCAGGGCTACGGCTTGGACAATGAAAACATTCGACTGCTCCGCTTGCGCAGTTTCACCATCGGCAGGCCTCTAGCCGACGAAGAGCTTATGAGTCCCAACGCACAGGACAAAATTGCAGCTCTTATTGGTATCATGGAACCTTTCGTAAGCCAATCCATCCCAACGCCCTTGTCGTATAGCCGTCGTTTGGCTTTCCTTCTTTGCTTGCCCGCATCTGCATCCATTGGATCCTAGCACCGGTATCAAATACGGGCCTTTTCGCCCCGTTCCCCTCTTCGCCTCTCCAGCCACTTCAGCGGTGTAGCCTCGGACACAATGATACCCACCATGTAGCCGGTTGTGCTGGAGGTAGCAGGGGTCACCTGGAGAATCTTCTTATGTGATATTTTTGCTGACAGGAGATTTCAATATTTGATAGGTTACGTACCTCAACAGCGTCGTCATGCCCGATCCAGAGGATATGGATGCCAGTTCCGGGTCGGAAAGTACAGACTAAGTCGGGCATTCTCTTGGGATGAATGATAGCATGGTGTCTGTCACAATGTAGGTGTATCTTTGAAGACTGTGTGGGGTATTTTCTTAGTTGTTTCTCTATGCCTACCCCCCGCTTTTTTTTTTTTGGTCTTCTTCTTCTCTTCTCCCTAAAATGGCTTTTGCATGTAGTCGGTCGTGAGTTTACATGCTTTGAAAACTTTTGGCTTTCGGCCTTTGTCTGTAGCCGTTTTCTGATGGAGGCTGGAGGATGGGCCGTTAGCCTTTTGTTACCAGTCTTTGACTCGGGAGGCTCATGTCATTAATCCTGTCTGTGGGAAAGGGCAATCGCTCCTCTTTGGTTAGGTTTCCTGTAGATTTCATACAATACCTTTCACCAATCTGAGCTAAGGAGATGTACATATCTAGTCTCGGAGTTTTCTTTACCGCTACTTCTCGTCCCCCAATTATGGCGCCTTTCGTGTCAATTGCTCATCATCTCAACAGGGTCATGAATTGCTAGTCCTTCACGATACTGACGTGCATAATATAATGGCCTGCTGGCCTGCTGGCCGCGTGCCGCAGTCCGGCCCGTCGGACGTGCCGTTAGCCCCATGGCGCTGCCCATCCTGTGATATCCACTCCTGCACGCGTGCAAATTCGTCCATGGTCCTCATGCGTCCATGCGTCCCTCATCCCGTGGAACAGGCTTCATCTCTGCATCAATGCCCAAACCTCGTTCCACTCTGCGCTGGTAAAACAGAGTGGGTATCGTTTTCGTTACAAACCATTCTGTCATCTCGGAGCCAAGCCTATTTTTGTTCTGACCTGTGTCCCCTCGGCTGACAGTTTGCAATCATCTGGAGGAAATGACACGGAATTACCTAAGGAGGATGCATACTGTACAACTGTCCCCCGTCTGGCTAGAGTCCATGCAAGCCATGAACTTTGTGCGAGTCAATGATCAATGGTGATTTGACTCGGCAAGATCCTAGCGGAAGTTTCCGTTCAATAGATGCGCTCATCCACGGCCCCCGAATTTCCTTATTTGGGTTCAGGGACGATCATTGTCTTCTCTGTCAACTGGGAGGCCGGCATTTCCTTCCTTTTTTGCGGTCTTCTGGTAGATTGAGGAATCATACGAGCAAGGAATATTCTGTATCAGTCTTCTTTGTTGTATCACTATGTAGTCAAGTTATGTGTCATAAATGATTTGGAATTTTACTTGAGCTTGCTTGGTTTCATTCACGCTTTGCATCAAACATGCTTGTTCTTGTACCGTTAAGGATGGCCACTAGGATCGGACACAACCCCAGAGCCGACATATTGTCACGATAGCAAAATGGAGAGAGAATGCGTGACCCTGAAGACATGACTCTGCTGAATAGGCCTGGCCCTTGGAACCAATACTTGTATTTCGATGTATGTATGTATATATATTCAAACTCAGCTTGACATGTCTACCATACATTACCCTGATGATGTCGCCAAGAAGAAGAATCACATCTGATTTGACCGAGAGAACAGGTAGAGACCTACTACCCTATATCGTTACGAGTAGTTTCAATCAGACAGATATTCAACGGTGACGGGATCCACGGACTATAGTTAATCTTGCAAAAGATGTAGCCCTTCGGAGTCTACATTTGACGCTCCAGTAGTAGCCAGGATGATTAACAAAGTGCTAGCATGGCGCTACTAACTGCTAACTCGTAATCAGCCGAAGACAAGGTTCACACTTTTACCTAGGCCAACTCTCTGGCACCCAACAGCAATACTCCATCCCATACCAGCATCATATAAGTTTCGGCCGCAATACGGACGTGCGATTCAATAAATGTGACACATCCATGTTCTTTTGTCTCGAGATGCTGCACCAGAGGAAGCTGCTATTCGCCGAAGGCCAAGTCCGGAGACATCGCTCCAATCTATGTCTAGCACCAACTTGCATGCCGTTGACAGGAGAGCGGCCCCATTGGCATGTTGGAGCGCGTCCTATGGGCCAGATTTTCAGATAGCCCTATTCCATCGTCCACGATTTTCGTCGCTTGCGTAGTGGAAGCCCTGGCCCCGTTATTTAGAGTTGGCTAATTTCCAGGCTCAAAATTTCCGGATCGCCAGTCTTTGTGGGGAGAGCTGATCACTGAGCGACTTAATCGCACTGATTACTTAGCTAGGGTAAAGGCTTACACAGTGCCAGTGTTCCAGTTTTTATTTTATCTTGATTTGATTTTCTATATTTTTTTTCTCTCTCTCCTTTCCTTTGGTTTTCGCCACTTCATCTTGACGACTGGAAGGCGCAATAGTCAACTGATGATGAGGCATCCCTACAAAGTCAGGCATCCACCACCCTCCAAACCTAACCTTTTGTCGCGTGATAGAAAAGGTCAATGTACAACCGAATAACTCGTACAGCGTGTCACGCTCATATGTTGGGTCATCACATTATAGTGTCAATCCACAGCATTAGTTAGGGTCATGACTCGAACAAGACAACAGGAACGGCCACTGGAGATGTTGGAAGTCAAGGTACAGTACAACCGGCACGGCGGGAAACTACTAGTCCTACCGAAAGTGGAAATGTGACTAGGCGAACAAGTAAGCCCAACAGGACTATCGGACAATGTTTTGCTCCTCGTTTCGCCACGTCATTTGAGAAAGACAGCGCTTGCGCACACGCAGATACTACTATATACACACCCTAGTGCCCGAAGTGAGCACAGACAAACGTGGTTGGTGTTTCTCCTTTTTTTCCCCTTTCCCTTACGAACTAAGCCACCAAACTAAACCAGGGAGGTTAGTGCCCTGTTTATCCGCCACTAGCCTATCACCAAGTGTTTCCACGCGTGCCACGCCCGCCAAAAGCGACAGATAAAGTACAGATAGTCTGGGAGGCTCCTCGCCCTCATAGGCCAGTGCCCATCACGTGACTGAATTTGTATGCGGGCTGATCGATGATCAGTGACAGGCCGCATGATTCTTTTTCTTTTCTCCGCCAGCGCTATACTACTTGTTGTCAACCGTTTCCGCTTGGTCAGCAATTCGGACACCAGCGGGAACCTAGCCAAGGCTGTTCAACTACTCTCTGTACTTTGTTACTTCCTTTGATATACCCGTCCATACATATGCGAGAAGAGATGCACGTTGGCAAGGGCGCCTCACCCCCAGCCTCCGGATGGAAGATGGATTACGATCTCCTTCCCTGTGCTTAATTTCATCATCCTTGGAGCCACACGCGATCTTATCGCCAGCCAAGGCGAGTCGACGTTGGTCGCGGTGGAGCAGTCTTTCGGAGATACCGAGGGCAACACCAGACCTTGAAGTCCACAATTCTCTACGAGGTGGGTTCTAGTGTCAACGGAAACCCACGGACGGAAATGCAAGCAGCCGACAGGATCAGATGAGGAGAAAACGTGGCAAAAGAGAGGGATTAATAGACCATGAAGAGAGAAGCGCAAAGAAGAGGACGTACTCTGAAGTGGTTTCACGTTGTGTAACTTACCGTCACCGTAATACAATATTTACGTAGACCAGTTCGGTTTTTCCCGTACGGTACCGAAAGATTCCTTTTAGGGTATCTCAACCAGGATGGAAACCATTATGATTTCATTCTCCCTCTCGATACTATGACAAAGTGAGGCTGACAGTGAGCGTTGACTGTGTGGAGCAGGACGCATGGGAGTACCATTCTGCATGCAGCACCTTCTTAAGTTGCACTGTTGTCAACTTGGGTACTGTTACCTTGGGGTTACACTCGATTCTCTCTAGCAGTCAGAATTTACACTGGAGAATTGCCATCCGTGGCGTCACCAGTGTCAGAGGTACGGAATTCCAAGTTCATGTTGCTGGATTCACTTCAGCAGAGATTGCTGGGTCAAATCTGATTGAACAAAGAGGAGAAAGGCGGGGAAAGGGAAGAGAAAAAGGAAAAGAGAAAAAAATTTCTAGGGCGGAAAAGAAACGTTGGTAAAGTGGAGGAGTTGCTAAAACGTTATGAGGCTCCAGTCTTAGACGATCGGGCCTCTTAGCTCATGGTCAGATAACAGAAAACCGTCAGACTTTTCCTTCGACATGACTAGATTATGCAATGCGTACGAAAGGTGACATTATTGTCGTCACCAGCGATGATATTACGACTTTGATAGCATGCCACACTACGCTTTATGCATGAGATCGGCGGGAGTCGGGGCGGGCCGTCGTGGTGCCCAGGAGACAACTAGCGACTGAGGAGTGGTGGTTGCCCAACGCCCTGACACCAGCCCTGAAGCACCTGCATCCAGATCACACCTCATCCTGGCTGATTTCCGTTTGCGACCGCCGACTTCCGACATTGGTGCTATTCTTATCTGGTCGCGTACAGGAGGTATGGGAATGGCTATTTCTTCTTTCTCTTAAATTATTTTTTCCTTTTTCCTCTTTCTAATTTGGGAGTCATACATATCATGATTCCATCCTTCGGCCGACAACTTTGTATCATTCATGTATTGTGAATTTCCATGTCACGAAACAGGAAATATTGTCTCCACCTTCCATCTACTAATCATACATCACCATCACCAAATCATAAAAATAAAAAATAAAAAAAAAGATGATAGAAGAGGCTGATAGAAATAAAAAAAATTCCAACGCAAGAGGGAAGGTGAAAGCGACTACTCTGTATATTACAGTTGATCTGGTTAAAACAGCATGAGTCACACGATCGATGTCATGCTTCTTGATGTCCAAGATGAGCGAATATCTTACCTACATCTGCCGTAATAACAACCACCGCTTTGTGCTGTTGAGGAAGGATTGAGTGGGGTTAAAGAAGGTTTGGCAGCCTCTTGCAAATGTGATTAGCTTGCAGAAATTAGACTTGTTTCTCCTCGGTGCGTGTCGGATCATGGCTGTGAGTGCTGTACAGCAAATCAGAATGGCGTGCGGGTTGTTCTTAACTTCCGCCAGGCTTTATCCATGAGGACTAATCATTAGTTCCCATGTCCTTCCCATGTGCCAGTGGATTCTCGTTAAAAGTCTTTCCTCCAA